CAGTCGAAGCAGTCGAAGCAGTCGAAGCAGTCGAAGCAGTCGAAGCAGTCGAAGCAGTCGAAGCAGTCGAAGCAGTCGAAGCAGTCGAAGAAGTCGAAGAAGTCGAAGAATGAGGCTGCCAGTAATAGCATCTGTCGGTAACAACTACGCCGTATATCCCCCAAAAAGTCTTATCCGTCTTATCCTGGCACTTGTCGTGAAGGCAGTCCCGGTTTAGGTCGGTCATAAACAAACCCCCTGGAACCATGTCAGGATAACTTCGATGGCATAAGCAGTCATTATCCATGAAGTTTGTGCAGCCGAAAACTGCCAGTGTCTGTTCCACGCAGACATTCTACGTGAGGTGTAGGCGGGAACGCGTTAGCGAAAATGGAGTGGATAGATGGTTTGAAACCACGGCGGTTTAAGCGAGGATTCAGCTTACAGCGCAGTCGGGTATTCCAGGGTATTTCTCTGCAACGACAAGGCCGACAAGGGCAGGGATGACCAAGGCAGGCTTCATTGTGAATAGGTGCTTGGCAATTCACAGTATGTGAAATTATTGGACGCTGATACGGTGTAAGTCAGCGGTAGCAGTGTGAGAGCTGGTGGTCCAGAGAGTGGTTTGGAATAGTCGACGAAGATATGAGCTGATGGTCGATGAGTTCGAAAGACCATTAGATGCCAGCTTCTATAGGCAGGAAACGGCTTTATATAGGTCAAGTCACATTCCTGAGGATGGGGCTGGCGCAGGCTGCGCCGAAGGGAACACGAACATGGACTGGATAGGGAATGGTTTTCTCTCCCCGGTGTCACTGCTGGGGCTTGAACTTGTGCTCTATAGCGAAGTTCTCGACTGGGAGAAAAACTTTTCATCACTGGCAGCAGATTGTGACGACGAAGCCCCGAAGCCAGTCTGGCTTCGCTTTTTCGGTAACTCCGCCCACTCACTCAACACGTGTTTAGCACGCATCGCGGTCGACGTCCGTGCCAGTTCTAGAGGTGGACATGTCATGGTCGAACCATAGAGAAAATGAGAGCCGGGACGAGTATCTGCAAAGCCGGATGCGCCGGTCCGACGGCGACTGCACGGCTGGTGAGGGCATTCACGACATCAACCTCAACAACATTGGATGGACGCTCTCTTTCACTCTCTCCACACGTCGTCGGGGTGGGCGAGTAGTGGATCGTCAACGGAGACAAAGGGTCCCCTCCTCTTTGTCACAAAACGAATTGTGCCATTTGGCAGCCACCAAATGATTTAGCGTTCCCTGATTCGCCACTTGGTTTGTGTGTGCCAAGTCATACGTCTCGATCCCCGTTTGGGTTCTTGGTGGGAAGCATTGAGTTCGTGGTGTTGTGGGCGGGATCCATCAGATGGAATTTACGCTGCCCCAATGTAACCTGTTCGAGAAGCAGCCCACACAACCACTTGGACGCACTCGGTGGACTTCGCGGAGTCCGGATCACTAGGGAGCAAAGTGTCTGTCAAGTTCACAGCGCGACATGAAGATCCTTGCGTCGGGGGCGCGATCAACCAGGACATTCACATGGGGGCGTTCTCGTACCATTCGCCCCTGAGCGCGTGACCGCGTCAGATTATCATAGCATTGAAGTCGTTCTCCTCGACTCACAGGCGTGCGTCTATAGTTGCTCGTGATTGGGGGTGCTGTCATGCGATTCTGCATTCCAGGGTCGCACTGAGGACTGGCGTTACACTCTCATTCCCCCTTGCCTTGGCTCTCGTACGTATCAAAGTAGCAGTCGCTAAGCGTCGACATGGGGCAAGTCTTATCCAACACCCTTGCATCTCCTATATCGCGAGATACCTGGTGGTATGAGGCTTCTCGAGGCCTGAGGAGTGATGCTAGCCTGCGAGGAATGCGGATGAGCGGCAGCTAGGAGTCCGATCACGATGGGCTGGCTCAAGTGCCTTTTGGCGGGGCTAACAGTGGCAACTAGACTTTATTAATTGGCTGTTGCCCCGGGAAGTCCACTGGGTTCGGGGTCCTGGATCTGGATTTAGACTCGGTAACAAACAGGTCCAGACTTTGTGAGTCGAACCACATTCTTGTGCAGCACAGAGCTTTTCACATACGTTGATGCACTCATTCACATTCCAAGCTTATGCTGTGAAAAGACCTCGACAAAAACGTGTCTTGGAGTCGCGATAGGCTTTTGGGAGGCGCTTGAAGTACAATTCAGCTACGAATGGCCCTTGTGAGCACTCTTGCGCTACAAACTGCATCCCCGGTGAAGCAACCCTCTCGAACACACAAAATCATTTCTCGACTACCAAATTTGTCGCCCCCATCGGTGCACAGGATAACCGTCAGGTCGACTCGGTAGGCGCAGCCATACTGTCAAGCCCGCCTTCCGGCCACTGCTGTAGTATATGTAGATTGTGTGGCTGGCTGAATCGGGACTTGATGACGAGAGGCCGGAATGATGTGATGTGAAGGACGGTGGCCACGACAAGCGTCCACGACAACATGAAACTTGCAATGTCCGCCCGCCTCTGTGCAAAGTGTTTTTAGCACCTTTCAGCGTTGGGGTCAGCCCTGCGACAGTTAGCCTCGTCCCGGGGAATCGCGATAATGTAGCCCTAGGTTAAGTACCTGTAATACCAGTTTCCGTATGTAGTTTCACCCCCACGGTTGCAGTTCACTACCTCTTTATGAAGCCCGTCATAGCACTCATCCTCACCCAAATAACGAGTGGCCCCAGCATTAGGCCCAAGGAGGCCAACAGTATACTTCACGCTCTTCTTTGAGGAGATGCCATAACACCTGGTGACCTTTTCTCCTTTTTTATAGTAGCCTTTGAACGAGTAGTTGCATAGCTCCCTGACTTTTGCTTGAGCATGCCCCTTGTGATCTCCATATTTTTCCCCGGTCTTGAAGCACTTTCGCTTCTCGAGATGGGAATCTGAAGGATTGGGGGTAGTTGCGGCGGAAGACAGGCCAAGCGAGGCGACCGCAACAACAAAGAGGACTGAGAGCTGCATGTTGATTAAGAGGGTTCCACAAGAGCGTTGGAGATATGATGACAATTGAGATCAATTGATGTCAGCTACTTCGACAAGAGACAAAAACTAGATGCCCCTCTTATATCTTTGGCCCAGACGTGGCCGAAAACAGCGCGTAAGGGTCATTATGCACCTCGGATGCGACAACAGGCTTTTCATGCGCGACGCGACGCAGGATCAGCGCAACAAAGGTGCGGGTGGATCAAGTCGGGGAGGATATGGATTGAGTATGGCTTGGTCAGCATACCTGCCGTAGAGGCCGTCGAGATGTGCTACCGGAGAAACGCTATTGGTGAGCTGCTCTGAAAGCATGGACAAATGATCCATATGACTGCAGCACGCCAAGAGCCAGGAGTGAATTTGATATACAGAGAGTTGAGGGGCATAAGACAGTACGACTGATGAACGGGGGAGCCTGCCCTGTACGCGCATGGCGCAATCTGCGGGGTTCTGCTGCCCTGGCACGCTATATAACGAGCATAGCCCCCGCTGTAACCTTGGATGGGGGCCATTGGGGGCTCCAAGGCCCATGCATTCGGCCACCAGCGCTGCATGCAGCCGCTTGGAGTAGCGCTTATGTTCCTCCTGAGGAGCGATTCACCGCTGTGGCCCGCCAATAGTCTCTCTCAGTAGCGCGGCCGCCGCTCATTTGCTCCGGCGGCTCGATCCCTCGGCACTCTTTCATAGGCGAGCAGGGACGACGACGAATGACCGGTACGAAACACCTGGCCAGGTCCGGCCGGCCGCCCTGCATCGGTCACTACCTTGCCAAGCTCCACTGCCACCTACAGGCATGTTGCGGCTGGAACCAGTCGTGTAAGTCAAGTACTTTTAGCTCAGCATATCGGCGCTCTTCCGAAGGGATCTGCGGTCGGCTTAGCTGCGGTCCTCAATGTCGGGGTGGCAGCTGGCCACTGTAGTCACATGGACGTGCAAGGAATTTTGACACTGTCTTCCGCATCCAACTTCCTCGTATGTTTCGGGCAACAAAGGCGCCTCTTCCATTCGTGAAATGGGCAGCCTCAATCACGCTTGGCTATTTGGCGCTCGTTCGATCTCAGAATGTCGCAGCGCTGGTGTCCCCTCGGAACGACCTGGCCTAGGGCTCACCGTCATGAACGACCTCTTCGCAGTTGGCAAGGCTCTAATCTATGGCCTGGTGTAATGAAGTGAACGCTTCGGCGACCTAGATAACACAGCAATGCTATGTACCGGGCGGACGCTCAAGACGAAATGGCAGCACTCGGGCTGACGACTCCTATCCCAATGGCCTTGGTTGATGCCCCTAATGCCACGATCGAAGCTCCTGAACTACCCTTCTGACGCTTTACAGAAATATGGCGCGGCTTTAACCGAACATATTGACCACAGAGACAATTTGATCACAGGAGAGGGTGATACAAGAGCGATTTGATCCTAAAGATTTGGACAAGACTTCGCCTCCCCCCATTCAGCAAATTGGCCAGATTAATGAGGCAAGGTTTGTTCATCCTTCCTTAGATGATGACTGTGGTCGTTTCTGACCGGCAACCCAAAGCTCAGGGACCACGAGCTGAGTCTTTGCTTGGCCGGCATGGTGTTCGGCCAGCAGTCCTTCGAAAGACGGCCATCAGCACCTTTCAGCGTTTGGATCAGCCCTATATGAGTCAGCCTTGCCCTCACTGCGACCAGGCAGTCCGGTAACTTTTACCTATAGTACCAGTTTCCATAAGTCGTCTCGCCTCCGCGACCACAGTTCTTTACTTCCTTATGGAGTCCACTGTAGCACTCTTCTTCCCCCAAAAAGCGTTTTGCCCCAGCGTTCGGTCCGGTCAGACCAACAGTGAATTTGACGCTTTTTTTCCCGGCGATGTTGCGGCACCTTGTGAACTTCCATCCTTTATAGTAAGTTCCCTGGAATTCATTTTTGCATACTTCTCTCACTGCCTCCCACGCTTCGCCTTTTTGATTCCCATATTCCGCCCCTGTCTTGAAGCATTTGCGTTTCTCAAGAGCATTAGAATTGATTGGGTCAGAAATACTCGCGGCAGAGGTTGCGACAGCAAAGACGATAAAAGTTGAGAGCTTCATGATAGCTGAGAGAATAGTCGAAAAGCGATGAAATACGCTACTTGGTATGGCCTGGGTTGGGATGCGGACCCAGGGTGCTAAAGACGGAGGAAAGGTGGTTCTCTTATAGGTCCTCCAAGACAAAGCAGTATCGAGTGCCGCAATATACGTCAGGAATACTGCCGTGCGTCTCAATTGCATGGAAAGATCGACAAATGAGAAAACCAGGTGGCTATCAGCGCTTAGCGTGTCAACTCCTCGCGTTGTTTGTTGATGCACGGTCAGGCTAGCCAGCTGATAGCCTCATGCGCTCGGCGACTTCCAGATTTGGCCAAAGAGCACTGTCGCTGACGTTAAAGTCTCAGAGTAGATTTCGTGCGCTCTATGCACGTTGATCGAATGAAGCACACGAAGGATTACGCCAAGAGCTGGCAATCCACCCCAGGAACGAGACGGCCAAGACATGGAGTCAATACCAAGCTAAAAAGCTTGTGCTTTGCGCGTATAAGCACGGCCTGCAGGGTCAGGATTCCCTGACATGGTCCATTATAGCCCCACGTTGTGGCCTGGGACAGGGGCCACCCATGCTCATGCAGTTGACAACTAGCGATGTAGCTTATTGCTGGTAGTGCTTATCCTGCCTCGCCCTCGTCAACAAGAATGAAAGGATCCGCGGGATTCCCGCCCATTCGGATCACTAAACGAGCCGCAGCGGCCCGCCAGTGGCGCTTCTAAAATACGTTTCGCCAGCTTGATCGGCCTGGTCTCTCCAGTCCTTTCGTCGATGCTACGAAGCTCCCGAGGTGTGTTGCGGCGCCCTCGTGCTGCAAGGGTAATACGCACAGCCACATCTCTGAAGAAGGTATAAAAAGAAGACTTGACCCTCAACCCTTGCCAGCCTAACCACTGCAAGCCACGTCAGGAACGCTCTTTCACCGCTATCTGCCAATCTCGCAGTTAATATGCGGCCTTCAACTCTTATCGCCTTTACCGTCGCCTCACTTGGCTTGACCTCTGCCGCAGCTACTCCTAATCCGAAGGATCTAAACGTCTTTGAGAAACGCAAATGCTTCGAATCCGGGGTGAAGTATGGCGACGAAAAGGGAGAGGCACAGCAACTTGCGAAGGTTGCCTGTAGATTCATTTTTCAGGGCACATACAAAAAGAGGCAATACGCCTCGAAATGCTACAACCTCGCGAGTCGCAAAAAAAGTGTCAAGTTCGCCGTTGCCCTGTCCGGACCGAATGCTGGAGCCACCCGATATCTTGGCTTAGATGAGTGCTACGACGGGCTTCACAAAGAGGTTGTGAACTGCGGCCGGGGAGGGGAAACGACCTATGGCAACTGGTACTACAGGTATGTCAGGCGCCGGTAGGCCGTGTAAGAATAACGCTGACTTCCTCTTTAGGGCAGATCCTAACGTCGGGACATGCTAGCAACTTTGCTTCGACCGCCTCATGGCTAAGGAGGGACAAGCAAGCTGGATCAGTCTGCTATGCGCTAGCGGCAGCATTACCTAGAGCGTATTGACGCATGACATTCGTTTAATTCCGAATTGAATTCAGTCTTGGAAGCGAAGGAAGTTGAATGTACCAAATTACAAGCAGCGATACAGTGAGGAAGTAGTGTATACGGCAGTGCCTTCGATACTAGCGACGCCCGTTCTGTCCTGCCACTGAGATCTATGTTGGTCCGGGGGTGTGAAAGTCTAGCAACGCAAGGGCTGATGCCAGCACAGAGCATCTCACAAACTAAGCTCTTTGTTCATGACTGAACGTGCTAACATGAATGATGTGTTTGCGTATTCTCATCACCCACGATATAAGATTGGGATATCGCCGCCCAATACCCACAACGAAAGGACGTGCGGCAGACAGGTATTAGTAGGAATACCTGAAGTGCGGATTTTGCTATATCCACTAGGTCAGCGTCAGCCGCCGGTGAGGCGTGCGAGTAACTTACATTATCTGTGATGTCCTCAAACGAATGCGCGAAGTCGACATCCGCTACGACCTCCCCGCTCGCCACCATAGCGTCGCGCCGCTTGTTCATCCAGACATAGTAGGTTCGTAGCACAATTAAGACCACCTCGAGAAGGATAAAACATCCAAGTACGATCGAGAGGGCCATGAAGTAGCGTGGCTTGTCCTTGTCCCGGAAGCACTGTGGACCAATAGAGTTGCCCATTGCCCAAAATACGAAGTTGCTGGCGATGACGGCAGTTTTCTTGGTTTGACCTGCGACGTTTCTAGACACGAGGGAGAGAGCAAGACCAGAACAAACCCAGAACGAGTACATGGCGTAGTAGGCGATGAGGAGGCCAACTCGTTTGCTGGGTTCGAATGGCACAGAGATTAAGGCCACAGTTCCGGCAATGGTTGGCAAGACGCCCACCATCATGATAAGGATGGTCTGTTTGAACTTCCGGTCCGCCCAGACAGATGTGAGCATCACACAAATCATGACTACACCAGTTGGCATCTGAAGAAGCTGTGTCTGCCAAGTTGTGAATCCGAAAGACTTGATGATGATGGAAGCATATGCGCCGAACCCACCCGACGGTAAGGTGGTGCAGAACTGGATCAAGGCAAATGCATAGACTATGATGTTCTCCATATTAGCACGCCACTCATCTTTGTGTCCGTTAGAGCAGCCTACCTTGGGGGTCTTTGAGGGCATGTACAATCTGCTCCTTGCGGAAAACACGGTTCTGAACGCCCGTTCGGTTTTCGCGGACGCGCTCCACCATGAGCTTTTTATCTTCCTCAGACCAGCACTTTGCTCGCATGGGAGAGTCGGGTATCCAAAAGAGCACAAAGACGCCCCAAAACACTGTTGCCACACCATACGTCATGAAAAGCGCTTGCCAGGCTTTTAGTGGCGATTCCTTCGGAACGAACGAGAATGCGAAGGCCAGGAGACCGCCAAGAATTTGCTGGCAGCCGTTCATCATATACCTGTCAAATAGTGTTACAAAAGGGACGACACACGACGTTGAGAGGGACCACGAAACGAATTACGAACCACATGACGATACGGCCAGCTTGCTCTTCTTTCTTGTACCTGACCATTGGCGTAAGCTGGGCAAATTCCCGCACAGGAGAAGGCATTATTAACTCACCAAGTAGAAGACAAAAGCACGAACGCAGGTTGGCATACTGCTTCAAAAGCACCAAGCAGACCACGGAGAACAAGAAGACTAACGAAATTCGGAGCGGCGGCGTGAAATGACAGGGTCGCACCCCATAGAATGATGTTCGCGGCCAAGTACTTTCCAATGGGCAGTCGCTGAAGTATGAAGTTGGTCTAGAAAATATTAGCATTGAGCACAATCACGACAGGTTTGTTTCTCGTAGATTTCAGTAACCCTGGGGAAGACACGCTTACTGGATACTCGACGACCAGGATAATTAGAAATATGATAGTCGTGAACCATGAATACTGCAGACGAGTTAGGACATCTATATCATTTAATATGAGACTTCAATTGTCGTTTACCTGGTTCGATGCGAGGTTCGTATCCTCAATAATGCCCATGATGGAAGCAAAAGACATGGTACCCTTGTCCAACGCTTGGGTGAAATAAGTCACAATCATCACAGCCAAGATACGCTTGTCAATCATTCGTTTTAGTCGCCTGTTTGTGCTGTCGTCAATCTGAATTCGTGTTTCGTTGACATATTCGGCGACTTCTTTGTCGACGAGGTCATAGTTTGTGGCATTCTTGCCGCGTGGGCCTTCCTCTATGTGGTCAGGCGTCTCGGGCCTGATGTCGGTAGCTGTAGTCATGGCTCTGGGCTCTGGGTGAATTGGGCGTTGGAAAGCAACGAATTGGTAGAGCACCGAAGCGTGTCCTGGGGGCTTGTTGATAGACTCAGAACTTCGGCATAAGCTGTTCCTTTTAACTGTGTGGCGTGATCCTCCCACTCCAGCTCTGAGACAGTGAGACCCTTGTCATGTTGGGACTTACATGAGTCGGGGAGCCAACACCACCAGACCGCCTGACCCACGGGGACAGGACTCTGGGGGTATTGTGGGGAATCACTACCCAGCCACTGGTCGCCGAAAATGCTGTGATACTCCCGTGGAATGCAACCCCGATAACATTTACAGCACAACCATGAGCCACAGATGGACAGTAGACAGAAAGAACCGCGGTGCGTCGAAATCAGAAGAAAACCAATGCTGGATCTATCCGAATCGCTCACAGAGCTTGTGGACGTCCATCATGTCGATGCCTAGTCGTGATGCCGAGCCAACATCACTGGTGAGTTGTAGTAACTGTTGGTGCATCTTTCGGAGACCAACTTGGCATGACCCTGCGGCTAATGGGGCTTCGTCATTACCCTGATGCCGATGGCATGAGGGGGCAGTAGGAAGTCTCAACGTCGGGTGGTTCATCGGCGTCTGGCGGCAATTGGAGCTCGCCAGTATCCCGGAGGCCGTGAGGGAGACTCCTGTTGGTTTTGCCATTGGAGACGCCTCCAACGGTCAACTGGTCCGTACATCGGCGCTCGCATCATTTAGCCATTATGACTCTCCCGAAGGATGGGCTAAAAAGTATCCCCGCATTTCGGGGCCGCTTTGTCGGTATCTTAAGCCACGTCCATGCCTGTTATCCGGGAGAGCAAGATGGTGCTATCATGACAGTCTTTATCTGGCAGTGATACCGCTCTTCAGATACTTTCTGCTATAGGTTCCCCGGCTACAGCTCATGGCAAATAGTCCCTCAGCATTCACGCGTCCTGTAAGACTTCATTTCGCACCAGAGCTTGCAACGATGCTTGAGGGCAAGTTCGTGGTTTTCTCAGATATTGACAAGGCTGGGGTTGACCTTGTCGGAGCCCCTATCCTCGTTGATGATCTGGACTTTCCCGGAGTAAAGATTGCAGCCGGGAATCTAGCTGAAGACTTTGCCAGGGCCACAGGAGGAAGCAGCAGCAGCATCAACACTGTGTTCAATGCCAATCAAGTTGCTGGCTCGGGCATCTCGAAAATAGCAATCATCGTTGGTTGCATCAAAGTTAGCCGACTGCTGCAACGACTACAGAGAGAAGGCCAGGTTGACTTTGAACCAATCAAGGGCAAATGGGAGTCGTTCCTTACCGCAGTGGTCCGGAATCCTCTTGGCGGCACGTATGAGAAGGCGCTCGTGATTGGTGGTAGCGACAAGCGAGGTGCCATCTTTGGTATCTATACCTTGTCCGAACAAATTGGAGTTTCGCCGTAGGGAACCAACCAGCCAGCATGGCCATATGACCGAGCGTACCTCGCTGACAGCATCGCAATAGATGGTACTGGTGGGCTGATGTCCCTCCAAAGCAGAACGAGTCCGTTTATGCGATTCCTAGAACCACGATACATGGTGAACCCAGTGTCAAGTTTCGGGGCATCTTCCTGAACGATGAAGCCCCAGCAATGACAGGGTGGGTTCTGGAGAAATTCGGATCATACAATTCTACCTTATACAAAAAGGTGTTTGAACTGCTTTTACGTCTGAAGGTACTCTTCCTGCATCCTCTCAAGACCACCCAGAGAACCTGACGGCAGTCTGCAAGGCAAATTTCATGTGGCCTGCGATGTGGCCGGGCTATCCAAATCCTGGAGCGAACTTCTTTGTAGATGACCCGGATAACCAGCGTCTTGCTGACGAGTATGGCATCGTCATCTCAACGTCTCATCATGAGCCCATGCAACGATTGACGAATGAGTGGTTTCTGGAGAACGAAGAGGGGAGCTGGGATTGGGAAACCAACAAGGAGAGTATGACCGACTTCTTTCGGTATGGTGCGCAGAGGGCGAAAGAGTACGAGTCGTACTTCACAGTAGGGATACGAGGTGCCTACGACCGAAGAATGCCGGGCTCTGACCCTGCCGTAACCATCACCGACGTCATCAACACTCAACGGCGCATCATCGAAGATGTCTACGGGAGAACTGAAGATGTGCCCCGTAAGTATACTGGACAGATCACATTTCTCTGCTATAACGGCTTTTCTAATGGGGTTCAGAGGTCCTTGCATTATACAGAGACATTGAACAGATATACGATGGGGGAAGAATCGAAGTTCCTGACGACGTAACTTTGCTATTTCAGGACGATAACAACGGAACTATCCGCCGGCTTCCTGGCCAGAAAGAACGAGCTAGGAAAGGTGGTGCTGGTGTATGTCCGACCCGGTTCGCCTGCTGAATGGTTCGGCCGTTCACTGATGACCCAGATCTATTACCACTTCGAGTATGTTGGGCTTCCACGCAGCTACAAGTGGACAAACAGTGTTGCTTTGGTATGTCGCCACCATTGCATCGCCTTGCCAAACTCACTGAGCTCACAAGTCGCAGAGAAAGGCATGGCACCAGCTCCAATACGCGTACAGTCGAAACGCCAGACAGATATGGCTTTTCAATGTCGGCGACCTGAAGCCGCTGGAGACTCCAATTACATGGGCTATGAGCCTCGCATGGGACATCAACAGCATTGGAGCCGGTAACCTCCCGAGCTTCCTGCGTCAGACAGCTATAAGGGACTTTGGTCCCGAGCTCGGCAGCGAGATTGGCAAAGTTTACCTCGGATACAACCGCTTGGTGTCGATGCGAAAGCACGAGCTGATTGAGCCCGACACATTCTCGCTGCTAAATTACCGCGAAGCTGAACTCGTTCTGGAGCAGTGGGAGAAGCTGCTCACGGCGGCAGAGTCGGCTTATAGGTGGTGCACTGAAGAGCAGAAGCCGGCTGTGTACCAACTCGTACTCCATCCGGTCAAATCCTCTCAGGTTTTTATCGCGTTGCGGATCATGCAAGCGCGCAACCAGCTTTACGCGAGGCAGAGACGCACTTCTGCCAACACCGTTGCCCAAAAGGTGCTAGAACTCTTTGCTGCCGATTTCGACTTGCAATTGGAGTATCATGCGCTGTTGGGTGGCAAGTGGAATCACATGTTACGGCAACCGCATCTTGGCTACGAAAGGACCTGGCACGCTCCTTCACGAGATATGATTACGGGACTGTCATATGTTCAGATCAGGCAAGACTCCAATCCCATCGTTGGCCAGATGGGTGTTTCCGTCGAAGGCCACGCTGGTGTTCGCCCTGGCCTTACCAATGAGGAGTCTGATCGCACTCATCCAAGTCGTCTTGGTCTCGTCGCGGGCTTGACTCTGGACGCCATGAGCCGCTACGGGCCGGCTAGTCGATGGTTCGAGATCTGGTCTCGTGGGACGCCAACCATTCACTGGACGGCTTCCAGTCCCCATTCATGGCTGCGGTTGTCTAGCTACTCAGGCATATTGGTGCCTGGGAGGGATGATGCACGGATTGAGATCTCCATCGACTGGGACCTGGTGTCCGAAGACTTTGGCGAAGAGGTTTTGATTGACGTTCGGTCTGCAATTGGGGACTTTGAGCAAATACACCTCCCCGTGAGCGGGCGCAAAGTGCCGAGTACATTTCACCATGGCTTTGTCGAAGGGCCTGGTTACGTTTCGATGCCAGGTTCGAGCGGTGTCTCGAGCCCCGACTACATTGTATTGCCTGACACTGGAAGATCACTGCACGGGTCGGTCGGTCTGAACATGACCCTTGGGGTCAATGAGACATCGAATTTCCTGTCCTACCAATTCTACCAATTCTCTACCGCGGCCTCAGCGAAGGTCATCTTGGAATTCGGCATTACGCTAAGTACATCATCTGACGATCTCATATCGTACGACCTACAGGTCAACGACGGCCCGGTCACACAACATAGGATCGAACAGTTCACCGAGAAGAGTATTGAGTACGGGCTGAAACTCGGTGTACCCCGTGTCGCTGGCTGGATAACAGGAGCAGCCGACCTTGTCTGGAAGGTAGAGCACGAAGCCGCGGATTTCGGGCCAGGGGCGCAAGTCATTAGACTTCGGCTCTGCCATGTGAATATCCTGCTTGAAAAGGTGGTTGTTGACTTTGGTGGAGTTCGTGAGAGTTATCTTGGGCCGCCGGCCAGCCACTGGATCGAAACGTGTGCGGACTCTCACCACTGAATTCCATGTACCGGTTCTGGCCGCAACACGCAGTCATCTGGCTCGGATTCGGTGATAGGAAGAGCTAATTCCAGTAATCTCTGTTACCTGAACTCCGTCTCAGTGGATATTTCTGCGTTCAGGCCTGTTCGTGCTTGGCGGCGAGCGCGTGGACTCGGCGACATGTAAATGCTTATCTTTTGTGATTCAAGCCAGTCACTCCCTGTGGAAGGCGTCTCTCGACGTTGCTGGCAATCGTAGAAGATCATGGCAACAGGGCTTGCTTGATCTTGAACCTTTGGAGGTTGAATCGCCTCGTATAGTGTTCCGCGCATCGCCATCTCGCCGAACGGCGCTCCGCCGAAGTGACTGCTCAGTTTTGGGTAGCTTGGTGTTCAGCCACGTGCAGACATCGCCCAGGCCGAGTCGACGACAGGTGGGGAACTCAGTCGTGGACGAAGAGACGGTGGCTTGCTCGGCTCGTGGCCCGACAGACACGTTGACCGGCCGTGAGTCGGATTGTATGGACACGAGCACGCCCAAAGCGTGTTCTGACGCGATTCCGATCGTCAATGCCAAACATTGATGAGAAACGCTGGTCTGAGTCTGCGCGCTCGAGTGACGAATGCCTTGATTGCCGAGCGCGGCAGTTGCTTCGAAGCGCATCCGATATCTCACATGTGAGCGCCCATTTCCCCGGGTCGATGTCTCTGCGGGTGAAATCTTGACGCATGGCGGCGCCTGCAGAGCGCGGCAAGTGGAGTTTTGGCTGCGATGGACCGTGTGCCTGTGCCCGCGCCTTTATTATTGCCCTGCCGACAATGGCGTAGACGAATTGCCTTCGCGGAGCATAATGGACGGAGTCGTTTCTTGTGCTGTACTGCACAATGTCATGCTTGGGCGCTCCAACTGCAGCGAGTCTCGAAGCAAGGTGCTGAGGGCGCAGGTGACCCTGTCGGAACAGAGTCCGCCATCCCGCGTTATGTCCTCTGCGTGGCAGAACCAGGAGGACGTGTCCCTGCTTTTGCGGATTGCGACAAGTGTCCCAACGCCTCGCAGAGCCGTCATGCGGGGGAATTGGCCCGAAAGGGACGGTGGAATGCTCTGCGTTGTGCGCCGAGGGCTCGAAAATTGCGACGTCCGGCCAACACGTCCGTCCAGCCCGCTCGCCACAGGGTGCGGTTGGTTGGCATCGCTCAGTCGCAATGATGCGTCGATCCAAAGGAAAACCAGGGGAAGGTGGGCGGGGGAGAGAACATGGACCAACAGAGTCACAGCTGCCGATCCAAACTACGCGGACTTAAGGCCCTGTGAGCGTTGGCCCGTGGGCTCATAGCAATAAATCCGTTCGAACGCCCCCCCTTGTTTTGCCTCGGTTTTGGCACGATCCTCCGGGCCTATCTCCTCAAGACTCCCCTCTCCAGGCCGCGCTGTCTTCCATTGACGGCGAGGAGCGCGCTCGCGTCTGGGTTGCTCGACTGCGCAGATCGAATGCCGCAGGTTTCTTCTGCGGACCTCGCGGCCTTGGCGGCGGAGGATCAGGGGACGGCGCTCTGGACCATTGTCACCACATTCTCGGTGCTGGCGCAGGTCGCCGTCGTCGGTCGGCTGTGTGCGAGGCGTCTTAAGGGGGCGTCGTTGGCCGCCGATGACTACCTAATCTGCCTCGCCCTGGTAACGTCTCTCACGACAGCTCGCGGCGGTCAAGACGGCCTCGACTAACAGCTCGTCAGGCCCAATCCTGGACACTATTTGGCTTGTTCATCGGATGTACGTTCGCTCGTTTCGTCTTCAGGTTGGAGTGCTTCGCTGACTTGGACCAGTACGGCAATATGGACTCGGCAAGCACCGTGCCGCCGTGGTCCAGGACTCCCTCACGACATTTTACCGCTTCCTCTACTACTACCAGATCGTATACTGCATAACACCGCCGACGATAAAGCTGTCTTTGCTCTTCCTCTATGGGCGAGTCTTTCCGTCTGCCCGCTTCCGCACCCTGCTATGGATCACAGGCGCGATAGTAGCGGTCTGGGGGGTTGCGTCGTTGTTCATCAGTATATTCGACTGCAACCCCATCGATGGATTCTGGACGCGTCGAGGGAAATGCATTGACTACAAGATGTTCGGAATCGGCTATTCCATTGTCAACATCGTCACAGACTTCGCCGTGTGGCTGATGCCGATACCCATCATGTGGAGGGTACAGCTGCCGCTGGCCCAAAAGATTGCATTGAGCATCATCTTCTTGCTCGGACTCTTGTAAGGGCCCTCTTCTCCAGCCTTGTGAGCTTCGGTCGTGGCTCGCTTTATGAAGCCCAACTTGCTTACTCCCTCACCACATGCAGTGACTGTGGTGCAGCCCTCGGTCGGCCGATGTCGATGATGGCCCACCAAAAACAGGACCACACGTGGGAATTCTCAAGCGGCGTGAAATGGGGCATCATCGAGATATGCACCGGCATCATATGCACATGCCTGCCTGCGATGCGCACCATCTTCAGCTTCGCGTGGGCGAGCCGGTTCGGCAGGACATACTCGCACGATCGGACGACAGGCGTGAGCCGCTCGAGAACCGTGCGAAGCGCGCCGCGACCAAAAACCAACGACTGCAACAACCACCCCGCAACCCAGAGCCGGGTATGCAGGGGCCCGGATCACTACCCGGTCTGCGACGACGACGATGGTCACGGCATGGGGGACGAGCGGTGCTTGACGACTAACTCGGAGGAAACACGACGCGCCAGCGATGTTGGCGTCGAGCTCATGTCAATAAAGACAGAAGAAGCTAGGTAAAATGAAACGACCGCAGTGAAGGTCGCTCGGCCAACGCGCGCACTTGTGACCTCTTTGTTCGATGCCCGCTCCTCGTTACTCATGATCGCGATCAGATAGAGAGCTGCCAGCCCTTACTTGTACTCAATCTTGAACGCCCACACATACTCGTCGCCCTTAATGACCTCATCGCTCAGCTTGAGGGTCAGCTTGCCAATCCCATCCCAAGACACCGGTACGCTCTTGCCGTGTTGCTTGCCGCCCACGACCGTGACCTTGTCACCAGGCAGATACGGCACCGGATCCGGAATTGAAAGGCTGACCGAGGGCGCTCCCAAGTGATGGATGTAAAAGGCATCGCGCGTCGTCGTATATCGCAGGGGATCGACTCCGGGGGTAACCTTCCAGTAGCGAGTATCGAAGATAGCCTCGCCGTGGCCCTTAATCCACCTGCCCGCATCGCGCAGCCCCTTTTGCATAATCTCCGGGATCGAGCCGTCGTGCGCCGGGCCAATGTCAAGCAGGAAATTGCCGTTCTTGCTTACAATGTCAACGAGCGTCCGCGTGATGTTCTCGCCCGTAAGATACTTGTCGTCGGGCGTCTGGTAGTTGTAGCCGTACGAATGCGGATCCATGCCGCGGCTCGCCTCCCACTTGCGCTCAACCGTCTCATTGTTGGTCGTGTACTCGGGTGTGTCGAAGTCACCCTTGAGCCCGCACCGGTTATTGAAGGTGACTTGCCGCCGGTGGTCGCGCGCCCAGTTGAGCCACGGGGCCGCCAGGATCGTCATGTTATTGGGAGAACCTGAAATGTCGCACCACATGATGTCGACGCCGTACTCGTACGCGAGCGTCTTCATCTGCGGAAGCTGAATGTCGCGCACAAAATCGTCGACTTCAACGTAGCCGGTGTACTCGAGCTCCGCGCCAGTGTACGGGTTCGTCGGCGGCCCGCCGGGGAAGCTGCCGCTACCGTAGGGCTTGTAGGCAGGATTGTACCACTCGGGCATGCTAAAGTAGGTCCCTGATTTGGTCAGAACTGATGATGAGCTTCATACTTCATCTAGTGCGTGACGTACCGAGTCGGAGGTGAGGTTGGTGCTTGCGAGCGGCGGCGAAGAGGTCGCCAATGAAGTCGCGCTTCGGGCCATAGTGAACAGAGGAGCGACGGCTGATTGACTCGGAAAAGTTGAAGATGGCGAATCCGTCGTGATGCTCTAGGAAATGTCAGAAGAGCAATTGCCTCACTGGAGTGCTCTCAACTCACTCGTCGTCGGGACAAAGTACTGCGCTCCTGCATCGGAGAACAGATCAACCCACGCTTTGGGGTCAAACTTTTTGTCGGTAAAGTTGGAAAAGAAATCGTCATAATTGAAGTCTTGGCCATACGTCTCCAAATGGTATTCGTACGTCGCCGTCTTGTCGCCTTTTCTGTGCATCCAATTCCAGTACCTTCAATCGCCACGTTAGCATCGTCGCCCAGAGCATCAGCGATGGGATTGAGCCAGGCCACGCCAAAGTCCACGTACCACTCAGCATAATTTTCCTTGTCGCCGACATTGCCGTACGCAGGTGCGGCATAGACCCCCCAGTGGATGAAGATGCCGTACTTGGCGTCGTTGAACCAGTCCGGGTTCGTGTGCGACTGGACGCTCTGCACCGACTCCTCAAAGTCACCAATGCCACAGCTGCCGGATACCTTGGCGGAATTGCCTGCAGAGTGCCTTCCGCGGTACTCGGGCACAATTTCCGCGCTGCAGGCGGTCCCGGGCTTGACGCCGCGCTTGTTCCTGACGCCGACTTGCACGATTGCCGACTGCTTCGGCGCGAGGCGCTTCAGCGTGCCTGGCACGACGGTGTCGAGAGAGGATGATCTGACGGAGATTTGAAGTCCGTTGCCGCTTGTGACGTACTCCTTGTCGTCGGTGTTCTCGACGAACATCTCAATGATTTGAACGTAGTTGCTTCCCTCGAACCACTTGGAGGTGATGTTTGGGGCGACGATGTTGAGCACAGGACCGCGAGAATCTGTTGAGGTCAGATGGTTATAACCACATTATCAACGCAGCTGCGTGGACGAGACAAACCTGTCCGAGGCGCCAAGTCGCCCACCTGGTCTGCTGCAACGGCAGCGCCATTGGCGAGAACCGCAAGGAAAGAGCCTGTCAAGAGACTTGAGAGAAACATTGTGCAATGATCATTGACACATGGTAGACTGCCCCAGGTGCAAGTCCCGCTGCCTCGCTGGTGGATATTACCCCCAATTTATAAGAATATCAACATGTTTGCCTTCATGCATCCGCGTTCACTCGACCGACGGATATATCTCAAGATGCAAGGCAGGGCGGAGCATCCTCACAAGTGCCCGAGCTGCAGGACGGCCGCAGATCACCGCAGCATCCCGACGGGTAATACCGCACGGCAATTGCGAAGCGGCATCCCTTGCCCGTATTCCATATACGTCAGAGGCCCTGGATAGGCGAGGTAACCAGCGATGTAACCAGCAAGCACCCCGCACGGCTAGCCATGTAAGCCGCGATCTGATCGCCGCGCCGGCTTGTCCCTACCGGCTCGGCGCTGCCAGAAGCCACAGGGGTCCTACACCACCACTCGCGAATAGGGCTCGTGAAGGGGCTGCAGGGTTCCCGTAGAGGAAGGCTCATAGGATTGACTGAGCTCAGTCAATCGCCTAATTTGATTGCCACATCATGAAGACTTGACGCGACGGCTCGGATGCTCCTCTGCGTCCAGGTTCAAATATGTCCCGCCGGGTATGCATGGACAGGTTGACAACAGCGAACTACATCCCCTCGACACCGCGGACGATCTTGGGGCGCCATTATGATGAGTTAGCATGTCCTCACACAGGCCATGTCACTTATCGCGACCGAAAGACGTGAACCTCAAGTCGATTAGATCCCGACTCCGCCCCAACCCACCCAGACAAACTAAACATGCTCATCAATCGCTAAACTTGTTGCCGCCAGCACAGCCCAGGCGCTCGGTTATCCAACAAACCCGTCGGCGCTGGACTCACTGCGGCGGTCGCGCGACGAGCACATCAGCCTTCCCTTGAAGCTTCAGCTCGCCGTCGTCATGAGGAATCACAACAGTCGATCCCTTCTTGAGCGCCAGCGCATCTGACTTTTCCGTCGCGAGGGCCACGTCTCCCTCCAAAACGATCATAATGGCGAAGCCACAGCGGGTGGAAGCCTCGCCATCGACATGGAGCCGCTCCAGCACAAAGTACTCGTTCGACTCCTCAGCACACACACTCTCGCTAACCACACCATTGGTGACCAGCCGCATCGCCTCATCCCTCGTTCGCGCCTTCGTATCCACGGCCGTCAGCGCAGTTGGAAACCCCAGCCCAAGGTGTCCGTGCTTAAGCCCATCAATCTGGAAACCCTCCCACTCGCACAGCACAGAGAGGTCCGAGGGCTCTTGCAGCTCGACGACCATGACGCCCTGCCCAATGGCGTGCAGCGTTCCTGGCGGGACGTACAGCGTCTGGTGAGGGACGACGTCGATCTTGTGCATTTTGTCGAGCAACTGCGTACCCTTTCCGGCTTCCACCAGCTCCAGCAAATCCTTGTCGTCAACAGCCTCCTTGAGAGACAGCCATACACACCCAGGCGTCAGGATATACCAAGCCTCTGCCTTCCCGTGCTTGAAACCGAGATGCCGCGCAGCCCAGTCCACGTGAGGGTGGGCATGCACGGGGAGTCGCTGGCCCGCGTCGAGGAGCTTGACCAGGAGCTTCGTGTCGGCGCCGTACCGGGCGACGTGCTCCGCGCCGAGCCAGCGCTCCGGCTCCGCTCTCACGGCGTCTGCGAGGAAGGTCCCATCCGGGAGACGGCTGAGTCCGAGGCTCGCGCAGCCGTGGCAGCACGTGGTGGAGGCGACCCAGTCCTCGGGCTGGTGCGACGCGCAGGGAGGGTCGGCGCGGAAGGACGAGATGCGGGCGCCGCCGGCGTAGAACCTGTCGGCGGGCTGGTTTGCGGGCACGATGATGGGAGCCATGGCGGTGGTGTGATTGCTGTCGACCTGAGCGTTCTAGCTGGCGATGAGTTGCAGGCCGTCAATGGGCTTCCGGAGTTGGCGGCTTTCAGAGATCACTTGACACGGAACAGCACCGAAGATCAACGCTCGTCGTAAGATATGGGAGAAGAAAGGTTGCAAAGGAGCGAGCCCTTGGAGGAATTGTCCCTCTTCATCGTTGCGGCCATGTTGAGGGTGATCGGTGGAGCGAAAACCGGGCCATGGCGGTCGGCCTGTACAGGGCAGCCATTCCCGCATACAAAGGCCTGTGTGGGTGGGTGACGCCCGGCCGCAACAACGGTGGCGATCACGTGGACCATACAGTGGGTGGCAGTCACCCTAAAGCTATGTGACACGATCTGTCAATGTTCAGACATCACTGCGAGTTTGACATCTTTGCGTCTACGGGTGAAGGGCGCGTGGCGTAGGATACGTTGGCGTGGGGGGCCGGGGGTATGTCGTGTTTTGTACGACGGCAAGATGGACTCGGCTATCATTCAGGCTTACAGCGTCTCTATTCAGTGGCTGCTTCGGCGCTCGCGGTATGTCTACTTAGTTTACCTTGGGCTTGTCGATGCTTCAGTCGCTCCTTGGTCGGGCCCTTCAGGAAACGACCGTGATACTGTGGGCTGCGGTTGCCGACGCTGAATTTACAAGCCTCCTTGACGCCCCCGCCAAACTCCTCGATGCCCCTCCAAGATGCGCCGCATTTAGGGCGGTTTCGTCACCCCTTGTGGCCCTCCACAAACTCGTTAAACATCTCGGTGCCGCCCTTCTTGTACCCACACTTGGCGTAAAAGACCTCCTTGTCCGGGCTGCAGTTGAGGATGCTCTTGGTGCAGCCGGCGTTGCGGGCGACCGAGTCGAGCGCCTCAATCATGCGCAGGCCCAGCTTCTTGCCCTGGTGCTCCTTGGCGACGCAAATCTCCTCGACGTGCCCGACGCTGGCCCGATCCCAAATGCTGCGAGGGTCAAGTCATTAGTCTCACTCCAGGGTGGCATGGGAAGACACAAAAAAAAGGTATGAAAGCTTGGGCAGGACGCACAACTTCTTCTCGATGATGACGGCGCCGGTGCCGACGATGCGCCCCTCGTGCTCGATGACGAGGTAGTAGTAGGGCCCCTTGCCCTGCGTGTCCATCTCGTCGTAGCGCGCGGCGAACTCCTCGGCCGTCTGGTTGCCCGTCCAGGTCAGGTCGCGCAGGCATTCGAGGAAGCCCTTGGCGTAGTCGTCGCGCGCCAGCGGGCGGATGGTGAAGCCCGAGGGCATCGCTGCGTGTACGCCCTCATCGATGAGGGACGGCGAGAAGAGCGGCGTCGATTGAGACATGGCTGTTTTGCTTTGCCCTTTTTTATGAAGAAGGTGTTTGTGTGGACAGTGTAGTGATTATAGATGCGAGAGATTAAGCAGCTACCGCAATGCACAGAGAGTACGTAGATGAATCAATTGCCGCCCGTCGTTGGTCTGTACTAGAGTAAATTACGCTGCAGATGCCGGACGGCGGAGCGAGGGCGTTTAATAGGCGCCGAAACTCGACGCACGGAGATGCCAAATACAGCGGCGCCGTCCCCGCTGACACCGGCAATGACAGCGGCCTTTGCCGGCGAGGACGTGTACACAATAGGGGCTCAATCGCATCTCCGACGTCGCAAAAATCGGCGAGCTGAAATGGGAAAACTAATGGCACCACGTTCGGCATTTAATGGCTCTCGGTGAGTCTATCATGGCAAACATCTCGGATATCGGAGGGGGACTGGAAACTCGGACCCGCGGACAGTCCGCCGGCGACGGATCCGATCGCTCTGATGGTACGAATCGCCGGTGCACGACCCGGAGAACGGAGAACGGCTCAGACACCCGTCAGACACGGTGACGCATTGGCACTCTAACATCAGGCAATCGAACGGCTCGCCGCAGCAACAGACTCGATTGAGAACTTTGTTCGCGCTCAGTCCTGTGGTTGACCTGATGCCCGAAGGCCGGTTGCTCGAACCCTCAATTGATGGTCAGCCCTCCGGGCGTTGAGCAAGAAGGCCCATCGCGGAGCCAGCTCCTCGGCGTGACAGCAAACAATAAGATTTGCCATGGGCCTCCACGCGACAGGCCTCGCGAAAACATGGCATTCATTGTCGGACCGCAGAAAAAGCACATGGTGAGAAAGCTGACTCTGAACGGACAGGAACACGCCGTACGAAGTGAATCTCATCTGCAATGACTAAAGGCCTCCACATGAGTGTCCATCGCCTCCGCTTGAGACCGTCCGACAGATTGTACGACGAGTCCAGTGCATGAAGCTGACCATTCATGAAAGCTCGGCTGCCTGACGCTACAACGTCCAGTCGCTGGCAAAATTGCTGTTTATGCTGGAACACGCCACCCACGCGCCAGTGCCGGTCTGTAGCACCTTTGACGTCGTTTTCAACTCATACAAAGAGCAACTCCTCAAAGAGCTGAGATGCCGAATTCTCGTTCACTTGACATGTCCGATATGCTGCGTCGATGTATGAGCCCCTTGCGTAAATGCAGTTGTGGCCCGCTGTAGATGACCCTGCTTCGAGTTCTGGCAAAGACGTAACAGGGCGTCTGCTCGGTTCGGGAGCTGCAACCAGGCTTCGGAGCGCCAAGTACGTGGTACGAGGTGGGCTTCAGGCATAAAGTCGACTCATGTTCTACCGCATGCCAAGTCCGAAGAACACAGACGCTCCTTGGCTTGTACAGGGTCATGCGGCACCACGATGTTGCCTGTCAGACGCAGAGTGAGCGCACCTGCCCACATGTATATAGATGGGCACCTCATTCGGATTCTCAGTCATCTAGTATGTAGTGGAAGCAGTTCCTTGGGACAGGTGACAAACCATTGACCCGCCATCCGTCGATCTCGTCTTGACGGCCCATTTGTCCTCAACCTTGCGCTTACGACATTGGTTCCAACATGAAATTTGCTACCTACATCATTGTTGCCCTGGGCTCAGGCGCTGTTGCGCTCCCCGGTCCCGTATCTCGGCACTGGGATCAGCAGGAAACGGCCAACGGCCGTCGCAGCCTGACGCATTGGCTTGCCGCGGGCACATGTTATATCATACCGCACTCGTGGTGCTCGCCAAAAATCACTTCAGCAGCCATAGAGCCCACAGCAGTCGCAGATGCTGAGCCCCCGAGCAACACGAGCGTTGCGCCGAGCGCGGCCGCAACCACTGATGTTGCGGAGCCACAGCCGCCGACTGTTCAAGCCGGTGAACAGCGGCTCCCATGGGTACCGCGACCGTCGAAATGGGTCATCAGAGCAAACGACTGCCCAAACAATGTCGTCCAACTTCTCACCGCGGAGCATATCGTTGCCATTAGCGACAAGTGCGGAACGGGGATCGTGTGCCGGGCGGCCTCTGACCCGGCTGCCTGCTTTGACAGGTTTGAGGCACCTCCGAATCACCCGACGGAGCTCCTAGACTGGCAAGAGGGAACATACGAACCTGTTCTGGGCAGTGTTGGGCAGTGCCAGTATGCGCCTTGGATTGCTTCTTATCCAGACGTCCTCTGCGGCACTGCCCGCCACTGCAAATCGTACCACATTGGCTACATGAATGACGACATGTATCGTAACGAACAGGATTGCCTCGACTCCCACCGGCCAGCTCCTTGATACGAAAGACACCTCATCGGGAAAGGCTAGAGGCAAGATGAGGAAGCAGGATTGAACAGACTGTGTCGCTGGGATGGGACATATGTCCATGCAGTCGTGATGGTGTTGTATTTACTACATCTACTACTAGTATCCATGACTACCTTTGCATCGTCCATCCAGTCCTCCAGTGCACAGAAATGTCCTCAGTAGTCGATCTGTGGCTTGGAAATATAGCGGATACGACGCAAGCATGACTTCAACGGAGAGTGCATCAGTTATGGCGAAGTGTTCGTGGACAGAGTATTGTACCCGCGCAGTCCGCCACCATCTTCGGGACAAAGCCGATCGCAGTCGGGTTTCAACTGACCACGACTAGTAATCACGCGCGGCCTCGGAAGCTCGTCCCGGATGTGTCTTTGTCGAACCCGAGATACGGTAATAATTCTCGCGTCAATGGCGCCGTTACCTGCAACTCAGTGGAGCCGCTTGAGCGTATCGTCACCCATAACGTGCTAAGCATAACGACTCAAATGACGACTCAGTCGGAGTCAGCGTGAAGCCAGTGCGTGGAGCATCAGCCGCTCGTCACCTCCAACTGCTGAGCACATGCTATTGTACAAATAACCGCTGCACTTCAGAATTATAAGACGCGCATTGCGCTGCTAGACACGACGAGAAAGCCATCTTCCAGGACTACGAGGCACCAGACGGGAAACCGGTGTCACTGTCTTCGCCATGGCGGATACGCAGCAAGAACCGATCCCGAACGACGCAACGATACTGGTGACCGGCGCCAATGGCTTCGTTGGGTCACATGTAGCAGACCAGTTTCTACAGCGGGGGTTCAAGGTCCGCGGCGTCGTGCGCGACCGGGCGAGGAGTGCCTGGCTTGCCCAGCTCTTCCACAACAAGTACGGCCGAGACAGCTTTGATCTATTCCCCGTCGCCGACATGGCAACCGAGGGAGCATTCAGCGAAGCCGCCGCTGGTACGTCGCCCTCCCAGCAACACGACCAGGGCATGCTCGCGGTTTCTCACAATGGCCATCTAGGGGTCTCTACCATTGTGCACACAGCTTCAGTCATGACCTTTGACTACGATCCTAATACCGTCATCCCTCCCGCGATCGCCGGCGCCCTGAACGCACTCAAGGCAGCATACGCGCAGCCTAGTGTGAAGCGATTCGTTCTCACGTCGTCTTCTACTGCGGCGTACTTGCCCGACTCGGGCGGCAACGGTGCGGCGCCCATCGACATTACAACAGAGACGTGGAACGAGGATGCAATTCGGAGAGCGTGGGCGGATCCGCCCTACACTCCTGAGCGTGCGTCGTTCGTCTACGCCGCGAGCAAGGCCCAGGCCGAGCAGCGCGTCTGGGAGTTTCACCGCGAGAATCGCCATCGGCGACCAGACCTCACTGTAAACACCCGTGAGGTCCCCCGTTTATGACAGTAACTACGTTGAGAGCACTGAGAACTGACTGGCGTAGTCCTTCCAAACATGAACTTTGGGCGCAGCATCGACCCAGTGCACCAGGGCCATTCGAGCATGTCGGGCCTTGTCGTGGACCTGTGGCATGGGAAGACGCCCCAGCTCCTCGACGTACTACCCGCGCGTGAGTAGCATCTTCTTCGCTCCATAATTCCCATGAAGAGAGTGATGGCTAAAGAGATGAATGTCAAGAATACTTTATCGACGTGCAAGACTGCGCACGGCTTCACGTGGCCGCGACGGTGCTTCCTGGCGTGCAAGGCGAGCGCATCTTTGGCTTTGCCGGCCGGTTCAACTGGGTTGATGTCTTGGACATCTTGCGCAGACAGAACCCGGAGAGGAGCTTCACACAAAAGGTCGCTGGCGGTTGGGACCGTCGCGAGATTGAGCCGCGGGCTCGCGCAGAGGAGATGCTATGCGCAATGGGACAGGAGGGCTGGACGTCGTTGGAGCAGTCCGTCTGGCAAAATACGGAGCATCTTCGACCTGGAAATTAGAGGCCATGGTTCTCGCTCATGTACCCAGTCCTCCTTCTTCGACTTTACACGCTGGCCGGGGGTCGATGTCGATGACCAAATCTATGCCCCATCTCCCGCCCAGCTGGAGTGAGGCGGTGGGTGGTCCAACAGGCGCCCCCACCGCGTCCCGCTGCGACGTCGTGAACGGCTTCACGTCCGTAGCCGTACTTCGCTCGCCCAGCCGTGCAACGCGTCATCATCGGCATTGCAACTTTAAACCCCGCTGTTGCAAATTTTGCCATTCGTCCACCTTCACAATTCGGAACGTTGGCTTGCCCGAGATTCCTAGCGTCAAATGAAGCAAAAATTGCCATTGGCCTGCGGTGTGCAGGGTAAGCGTGCGGCTGGAGGCGGACGGCGAGCTTTGTGAAGAGTCAAGGGGTTGGGTGAACGGTTATAAGATGCGGCGAGCGTCTTCAATGGGCTATTGGCCTTCCGTTCAGAAGGAGCAAAAATACCCAGTGCTCTTGTACGTCTCACGGGCGTTGCAGAAAGAAAACAAACATTGCCTACGCCGCCAGTCACAATGGCAGAGCACCTCAGCTACGTCGGCTCGGGGCCGTACTGCTACGCCAACTCGCTGGCCATGATGCTCGGCAAGGAGAGCCCCTCGCCGACCGTCATCGAGTTCGCCACGTCCAGCCCCTTTGGCATGCAAATCATCGGCGGCAACCTCGTCTTCTTCGACCCCTACGGCTGGGACCCTGCCGCCAGCTTCGACGCCGCGCTCAAGGCTGCAGGCTGGGAGTCTACGCTCGTCATCGGGGCCGACGCCGGCGACGCCCTCGCACGCCTCAAGCAGGCCGTCATGCAGGGACCAGTATTTGTCGGCCCCGTAGAGATGGGTCTCTTACGCCATCAGCCCGAGATGAAGGGCGCCATCGGGGCCGACCACTACATAGTCGTGCTGCGCATCACCGACGACGGCATGGTCGAGATGCACGACCCGCACGGGCACCCATACGCGACGCTGCCCGTTGCCGAGTTCATGGCCTCGTGGCGCGCGGAGAAGCTCGGCTACGGCAAGCCGTACATGCTGCGCACCGACTTCCGCCAGGTCGAGCGCGGCGTCAGCGAGGAGGATGTGATCCGGCGATCGCTCGACAACGCGCGGCGATGGCTGTCCATGGAGGGCCCGCACGACGACATGCCGGCGGGGTCGTACGGCAACGGCGAGGCCGCCGAGCGGCTCGCGCAGAAGGTCGAGGCCAAGACGCTCGCGCAGGGCATGCGGATGGATCTCGTCTACTTTGCCGTGCGGGTCGGGGCGCGCCGGCTGGCTGATGCGGCGACGTGCCTGAGGCGCATCGGGAGGGACGACGCGGCGGACGTTGTGGCTCGGCAGGCCAGGCTGGTCGGCGCGCTGCAGCACCCGCTCGTGGTCGGCGACAATGCGCGGGCGGCGACGCTGCTCCGCGAGCTGGCGCCGACGTACGAGGAGTTGCGGACGGCGCTGGGCTGAGTTGGATCGAGTGAGGGCGGCGTCTCCCTGGCGGCTGCATCGCTGTAGGTACCTAGAGGTATGTAGTCATGTACTGCTTGCCGTCAAGGGCATGGATGCGACGAAAGAGATTTCTTGGCCGACACAGCCTGCTCGATATTAGATGGAATGAAGTCGAGGTGCCTGATGCGGTGATGCGGATGACGAGGATGAGCATTGAGGATGACGACCCCGTGGCTCAGATCAGCGGGGCAGCGAGGCTCTGGCGGGAGCCCCACCCGGACACCTGGTGCGGGCCTGGCGGCTCCAGGTGCCCGCCTCCGCTGGCGGCGCAGCGTCACATGCCTGGGCCGCGACTTGTCAGTGACGCCGTCGCCGGGTGCGAGCGTGACCACGATACATGACATGGACATGACACGACACGGCATGTCGCGGCCGGAATACTGCCCGCACGCTGCGCGCTCTGCCACCCAAGGTGACATTGCATTGAGTGACGAGAACGGCCAGATCCCACTCTGACTGGCGCCCCCTCGCCGTGGCGGCAGCCCGCGTGCTCAGGCGCGAGGTTCGTTATCGTCGCTTGCCCATTGTCACTGCCTCCGGCGCTGCGTCATTGGCCCGTCCACGCCCGTCCCGGTCCAAGGCCCTTATCGATAGGTCCGCCCGCAGGTACCTGGCAGCCTGGACACCCACTCGTCCAGGCCGCTGGCCGGCGCTACAGGTGCGACTACAGGCACGATGCGGGAGTCTCCCCAGGCGGCAGCGGTGGGTCCAGCGGTCCACCCATGTACTTGTCCGGTACCTCCTCGACCCACCTCTCCCGGCCGTCCCTTGCAAGTGACCTGACTGACTTGGATTGCTTGCCGCTTGACGCTCCAAGACGAGAGGGCGGCGCCGCCCCTTCCATCCGACTCAACCTTCGACGGCCTTGCCTTATTCATTGAACCCGGCGCCGCCATTCAACCTCAACCACCGCATCGCCAACTGCGAGCCTGATGACGACGCGAGCCCAACCGCCGCCGCTCCCCGCCGCTCCCTCTCCCCCTCCTTCCGCGTCCGCATAGCACGACACTGCGAGACGGCGCCCCCAACCCATCAGCTCGCAGCTCCCGTCTCGCCCGCTGCATCCCGTGGCGCGCCGCCATTCGTCGTCGCCGTTGTTGCCCGGCGTCCTGGGCCATCGTCCGTCCACCTCCGCCGCTCCGACCATCTACGGCGCTCGACATCCTTTGCCTCACAAGTGCCGGCCAACCTACGGCAGATCGCAACCTTATTTCGACGCCCTGACGGCCTTCGCAGCCCATGGCGCGCCCTACCTCCCCGCCGGGGGCGGACGTCCCAGTCCCCGGCGGCGCCCGCGCCAGTGGTGATGGCCGAGACGAGAGCCACAGGCGAATAGGGAGGAAGCTGCAGAAGAGGCGCCGCGAGGAGCCGCACGCTGTCGAGCTACCGGAGCCGCTAAAGGGCGATGACAGCGAGGACGAGGTGTCGCCCAACGACGCCGCCTCCACGCGGGGCGGGCCCATGTCCATCAACATGAACCAGAGCATCTTCGGGCTCATCGCTGCCGCAGGGTCCAGGGTCGACTTCAACGAGCGCTTCGACGACGCCAGCAGTGACGACGAGGACAGCCAGCAGCCAGGCAGGCGCGAGGACCTGTCGCAGACCGTCATACTCCAGCCGTCCGCCAGCGACCCGACCGATAAGGCAGCCAAACGCGGCCACAAGAAGCGCCTTTCGGGACACAGGCTGCTCAAATCCTTTGCGACCCTGCCCAAGCGAAAGTTAAAGTCAAAACGCGAGTCGAGTCGCTTGTCCGCTCCCGCCCCGGGGTCTGACGAGCAGAGCGAGTCGAGCGAGCCCTCCCAGACACCGGCCATCACGCTCGACAAGGACGACACTCGCCTGGCCCCCGTCATGAGCCGCATGCTGCAGGCACGAGCCGAAATGTCCAGCCGGCCGAGCTTCGATATCGAGAGACGGTCGTCCGACCTCGGACGTGACGACGGAGACGAGGCCTCGCAGCTGGCGAGGCGGCTCATGGAAATTTTCGAATTCGACAAGCCCGAGGAAGTCATTGAAGGTAACGTCGCTCCTTTTTGCCCGGTGTGTCCCGCTGCTGACGACTGCAGAGTATCCTTGCTGGTTGTTGCAAAGCGTCTTGCTCCAGGGCTTCCTGTACATCACGACCAACCACATTTGCTTTTATGCCTACCTTCCCAAGAAGGCTGCAAGTCTCTCCGCCGCCTTCTGACGAGGAACAGTTTCTGACATCATTGCAGAATGTAGTAGCTAAGTCCGGTTACCTTTCCAAGAGCGGCAAGCGGAATCCCAAGTACAACCGGTACTGGTTCCGCCTGAAAGGAGACGTGCTCTCCTACTATCGCGACTCGACCAACCTATACTTCCCCCACGGCCACATAGACCTTCGATTCGGCATCTCGGCGAGCATCGTCGACAGAGAAAAGGATGGCGTCCACTTCAATGTTGTCACGAGTCACCGAACCTACAACTTCCGGGCTGACAGCGCACCGAGCGCAAAGGAATGGGTGAAGAGCCTCCAGCGTGTCATATTCCGCAGTCACAACGATGGTGACAGCGTCAAGATTTCGCTGCCCATTGACAATGTGATCGATGTGGAGGAGACGCAGATGATGGAGTTTTCCGAGACGTGCAAGATCCGTGTCATTGACAACGACGAAACTTATGCCATCGACGAGGTAAATCACACAACCGTTTATCAGTCTTTCGCGCTGACGTGATCCAGTATTTCTTCTCATTCTTCAGCTTCGGCCGCGAAGCCATCAACGTCTTGAAGATTTTGGTCGAAGATGCTGCGCCGAATAGCAGGACAGCCGGAAAGGCAACAGCAGAGCAGGAGAGTTCGAGCGCATCGGCGCCAGCATCCGCTCCCGTCTCCCTCGGAGGGTCGAAGAGCGTGAGCCGAAACGACCTCGTCGTGGACAAGATTCGGACGACCAAGATGCCCGAGCCCGTCAAGGCGACCCTCTCCCCCATGTCGCCGCAGTCGACCAATCCCAGCCCGCGAGCGAGCTGCGAAGTGTCTTCTCGCACAAGTCTCGATGCTTTCCGCGGACTCGGCAGGCGGAGCCACGAGGTCTCTGGCCTTATGCAGGAGGAGAGCCCTCGAAGAAGCTTCAGTGGGACTAGGAGGTCACAGAGCCACCGTCGGCGTGACGAGAGGCGGCGCAATATCCTAGAGTCATCAGAGTCAAATCTCCAATCATCAACGGACGACCCCAGCTACTCCAACCTGACCGTGTCGGTCACCGACGAACCGTCAGCGAGTCAAATTCTTCGAGGCAGCGAAGTGTTCCAAAGCCCGACTATGCGACACTCGCCATCGTCGTCGCCCTCGGCAGACGCAGCCCGTCAGGCAAGAGATCCTCTGAGTGTACACCCACCCCCGCCGCACCACTCAGCCACGACAGGTCACATATCGCAGCTCGGGTACCATGGCGACTTTGACCAGCGGCCGTCGACGCCGACCTTGCAAAGCATCACAAAGATGGGCTCGTACCCGCTGCAGCGCGCTGGTGCGTTTGCCGACTACCTCAACAAGACGAGCAAGCGTATGAGCTCGCTTCTTGCCACCGAATCCATGGGATATGTCGAGAAGGTCTCTGGCATGTGGAAGGGTGGCCGCAAGCATTATGACGAGCCTGCTGGCCTGCGCCCCGACGAGGACGAGCTGGAGGAGGATTCGGAGGGCAAGATCCAGACCTCGATGGAGCGCTTCCGTGCGCATTTTGCCCTTCCTGAAACAGAGCGGCTGCAGGCGACATACTTTGGCTACATCCTCCGTGTCCTCCCGTTGTACGGCAAAATCTACATCAGCGACCGCTCATTCTGCTTCCGCAGCCTACTTCCCGGCACCCGGACGAAGCTGATCCTACCCCTTAAGGATGTGGAGACGGCACACAAGGAAAAGGGCTTTCGCTTTGGTTACAATGGCCTCGTGGTAGTCATCCGTGGCCACGAAGAGCTCTTCTTCGAATTTAGCCAGCTCGACGTGCGGGACGACTGCGCCGTGACGCTCTTGCAGAGTCTCGAAACTACAAAGTACCTTAAGGAGTCAGGGATACTCCAGGAGGAGGAACGCGAGGAGGAAGACTCCGCCATTGCAGAGCGGGACGCTCTCAAATCGGCACGGCAAGGCGAGCACCCGGAGCACGATGTCCAGCTTCCGCAGCAGACGGCCAGCATGGAAAACGCACCCACCATTCTGATGGACGAGACGGACGGCTCATTTCTCAACTTCAAGCCACCAAACCCCTTGAAGATTACCTGCCTCACTATCGGTTCCCGTGGCGACGTTCAGCCGTACATTGCGCTGTGCAAGGGTCTGCTTGCCGAGGGCCACAAGCCTCGTATCGCTACGCACGCCGAGTTCCAGGGCTGGATCGAGTCTCACGGTATTGAGTTTGCGCCGGTCGCGGGCGACCCCGGCGAGCTCATGCGCCTCTGCATCGAGAACGGCACCTTCACGCTCTCCTTCCTGCGCGAGGCCAACTCGACGTTTCGCGGTTGGCTGGCTGAGCTGCTGGACTCGGCGTATCAGGCGTGCGAGGGGTCCGAGCTGCTCATCGAGTCGCCCTCGGCCATGGCTGGTATCCACATCGCGGAGAAGCTGGGCATTCCGTACTTCAGGGCCTTCACCATGCCTTGGACGCGCACCAGGGCCTACCCGCATGCGTTCATCATGCCCGAGCACAAGATGGGCGGCGCCTACAACTACATGACCTATGTCATGTTTGACAACATCTTTTGGAAAGCGACGGCTCACCAGGTCAACCGGTGGCGCAACAAGACGCTGGGCTTGCCAAACACGGGACTGGAGAAGATGCAGCCAAACAAGGTTCCGTTCCTGTACAACTTCAGCCCCAGCGTCGTCGCCCCGCCACTAGACTTTTCGGACTGGATCCGCGTCACGGGCTACTGGTTCCTGGATGAGGGTGACGAGTACCAGCCGCCTCAGGAGCTAGACGACTTTATCAAGCGGGCCCGGGCGGACGGCAAAAAGATCGTGTACGTGGGCTTTGGGTCCATCATCGTTAACGACCCAGCCAAGATGACCCAGGAAGTCATCGACGCGGTGCGCAAGGCGGATGTTCGCTGCATTCTCTCCAAGGGATGGTCGGACCGCATCACGCCTAAGAATGATACGGCCAAGCCGCGCCCAGATGAGCCCGAGATGCCCCCTGAAATCTACGTGATCAAGTCCGCGCCCCACGACTGGCTGTTCCGCCAGATTGACGCCGCGGCGCACCATGGTGGGTCAGGTACGACAGGCGCCAGCTTACGAGCGGGCATCCCGACCATCATCAGGCCGTTCTTTGGCGACCAGTACTTCTTTGCCAGCCGCGTCGAGGATCTCGGCGTCGGCGTGTGGGTGAAGCGATGGGGCACGAACAGCTTCGGGCGTGCCCTGTGGGAGGTAACGCGCAACGAACGCATGATTGTAAAGGCCCGCGTGCTCGGCGAGCAGATCCGCAAGGTAAGATGCACCGCCACGACTACGTAGATCTCTGGCAGGGCTAACACTCCACAGGAAAAGGGCGTCGACCTGGCGATCCAGAACATCTACAGGGATCTCGAGTACGCTACCAGCCTGATCAAGCGTAAGGCGGGCAAGAACGCACAGATGGACACGGAGGACGACGAGGACACAGAGGAGAGCTGGACGTTTGTGGGCTCCGATGAGCCGGACCCAGACGTCGTGACCAAGAAGCTGAGCGAGGGGCTGGGCGGGCTGGGCATGGGCCGGGACAGGGCCCTAGGCAGCCAGGCCATCAAGGGCAGCGCCTAGAACGCGGCCCGTGGGTACGACACGAGGCATGACCAGGCACGACGGATCAGTTACGCGAGATGACCATTGATGTTGCGACCGCGATTGGGTCGAGGTTTTGGCTTTTGCTGTCTGTTGTTGATGTCGTTGGATAGCGGCTGTAATGGTGGGGTTGGACGCCCGCGCTGCTGCGGAGGCCACCGGGTGTGGCGTGGCGTACATATTCATGAGGGGGCAACTAAGCGTCGGGACCGGAGTCGGGACAACAGCTCGCTGGGGCTGCGTGCCGGACTGGAGACACAGAGTTTGCGTGCATCCCTCGATTTGCATAGATACGAGTACAGACACTATAGACGGCGGAACGATGCCGCTTGGCATTTGATGGTCGAGACCAGGACTCACCGTCGAGTCTGCCCGCCAAGAGAGACTGAGTTGCAGCGCCAACTCAGGCAATCATATTTGCTGTTTCTCATGATTGTTACCTGATGATCTCAACGGACAAATGGCCCTGCTTACATGAAAAGTGCAATGCAGTAGAAAGTTGCGCCAAAACTCACTCTCACAGATAGAGATAGTGTGCATACACTCGTGGTATTCATTATGTGACGTTGCTGTAAAGACGTATACTGCCGAGAATCTCATCTCTCCCGAGTCTCTTGACAACTCGTTTCAACTCCGGTACCGACCCAGAAAATGCTCCTTGAACGCCGTAAAGATATCATCATCGCCTACGTAAAGACTACATGTGTCTTGTGCCTCATAACCCCTTTGCCCTCTTCATCTTCATGCCCAGCTTGAGCATGCTCCACACCATGGAGCCTCTCTGGGCGGCCCTCTTCGCGTTTGCCGCCTTGTTGGAGTCCCCGCCGCCACCAGCCGTCGTGTTCCAGTGCTCGACGACGTGGCCCAGGAAGGTCGAGTTGCCGAGGACGTCGCCGAGGACGTCGATGAGGTTGTTGCCGGAGCTGGTGCCGTTGCCGGCGCCGGCGACGACGCCGCTCAGCACGTCGCTCAGCAGCGTGACGACGGAGATGGACGTGGTGAGCTTCTTGGTGTTGAGCACCTCTTCCAGGTACGGGATGTGCACGCCGTTGACGACGGTAGCGTTGCCCGTCGCGTTGAGCTCGATGACGCCGCGGCCGAGCGGGCCGGCCTGGTCGGCGAGGATGGTGGCCAGGTTGGGGCCCAGCGTGTCGAGGAAGAGCATCCCGTCGAAGGCGCACGAGTTGTTGCCCGGCGGGAGGGCGAGGTCGTAGATGGTAATCTCTCCGAGGCGGATCTTGCCCGAGAGGAGGTTGAGCGTGAGGTTTCCAATCTCGAGCGTCAGGACGCCCGAGTTGGGCAGGTTGAGCGTGCCCTTGATGTTCTTGCCATCCTTGGGGGGCAGCATGACGGTCAAGTCCGTGATGCCAAAGCCCTTGAGGTTGTTGAGCCCGGGCAGCTTGATAGTCTTGTCGAGGTGCGGCGTGGAGGTCAGCTCGCCGAGGTGGATGGTCGGGTCGGCGCGCACCGACAGCTCGACCTCGTCCTGGGTGAAGACGCGGTTGAACCAGCGGACGAGCTCCGTCTGGTTGGTGACGGAGACGGTCTGGTTGGTGATGATGGCGGGGGTGTCGCCGCTGACGCGCTGGTCGGGCAGCGTGAGGGTGACGAACGGCGAGTAGGGCTCCGTGTCGCTGTTGTACAGGTAGAGGGGCAGCTCGTCGATGTTGACGGGCAGGGGCGTGTCGAGCGACGTGTTGAGCGAGAGGATGACGCGCTCGGGCGTGAGGGCCTTGAGCGCGCCGCTGTGCACGGGGAGGTCCTGCTTGTTGAGGATGGCCTGAACGATGGCCGGCACAATCACCTTGAACCTGGACACATTCGAGGTTAGTTCGTCTCTCGTTTGCGTTTTCGCCCGTACCCCCATACCAGCATGAAAAGTTCGCTGCGCTGGCTGGGCTGGAGGTGAGGCTTGATAACAGTTGGAACTTACACAATCGGCAGCAGGATCGCGAGAAAGATGATGGTGCCTATCAAGTACCACAGCCAGAAGCGACGGCAGTGCGCCTTTACTTTCTGCTGCTGGTTGCGCAGCTTCTGCCGCCGGGTGAGCTTCTCGGTGGGCTTCTTTGCGTCGCCGACGTGGTCCACGGACGAGGCGTCGTCGGCGACGTTCTCGTCGCGAGCGGCGTCGCGAGATGATGCGCCTTCGCCGCCGAGGCCGCCGGCGACAGATGCTGGCGCCGCTTGGGCGGGAGCGTTCTCGGTGTGCTCATACTTGGGAGGCTCCTTGCCGGCGTCCTTTTCCTTGAACCAGCCCATGGTGTCGTTGTTGTTGTTTGAGTTTCAACAACAACAAGCAGCAAGGTATCTGAGGGATGGGGGCACGATATCGCAAGGGAGAGATACCAATCTGCAAAGGATCGTGGGTTCGGGTATCCAGCGACTCAAGAGGTGCGCCCGTCCGGGGGAGTGCGACTTTGGACAGAGCAGCAGGTCGGTCGACTCAGAGGCAGCATCAACAGGAATCGTTGCCATCCGTGCACGCAATCGGGACCATCGATGTCATATCGGAAAGGCAAGCCTAAACTCCCCGCATCACACTCTGCCGATCTGCGCAGTTGCGGCCGAGGCACGAGCACCCGGGGTGGTGGACATCTGCAGCTCATCCCGCCCTGACAGCCCGGTCTCACAGCCAAACCACACACAAATCACGACGAGTCACAAGAAAAAAACACACCTTGCCCACGACCCCCAACCCAGGACTCCGCACGGTTCGGCTCCCCCGCGCGGGGAAAGTGGGCAGCGCCAGGGCAGACAGCCTGGATGCGATGTTGGCAAGCCCTTCCGCAAGATGGCCCCGAATAGGCAAAGATGGTCTTGGCTTTTGGCTCCGGTGGGCGGAACCCACACCCACAGTCGTCACTTGCGAGCCAGCTGGGCCACCGTTCGCCGGACTGGGACCGGCTTTTGGGGGAGAGGCTTGAGAAGGGGGGAGGGACACGACCGGGACCGGGGCGGCACATCTCGCGTCGACTTGGGCCGCTTCGGGCAAGGCACAGCAAGAGGCTCAACGGTGACCAGCAGGAACGATTGAGGGCGCCAAGTGGGGACAAGACGACTATCGAAAGAGAGAGCGCGGCACAGCGGGCGGGCGGGCGGCACCCACGATGCTATGATGTCGCGGTGCATCGGGGCCCTTGCCCAGTTGAGGCGCTCTTGGTGAACTAAACCTGGCTTGGGCTGAGCGGCTTGCGATCCGCACATCGCGGAACAAAACTCCACGCTCATTAAAATTTCAGGGCAAGTTGGTTCCAGTTTCTTCGCGCAGGCATACTACCTACATACGAGGGAGGCGCCGCTGAGTAAAGTGATGACCTCGCCGCCTGGCGCACAGACGAGATTGGACTGGGGCGAGCTGGGGGAAACTGGGGCAAGTCAGAGCTTGAGTTTGTGGTCGAGATGCAAGCTTGGCAGCCAGGCCACGGTCCAGTGACTCCAGTCTGGCAAAGGCACACACGCATTCGCGGGGGTGGAGACTGTGGGGTTGCTGTTTGGTCATGCTCTCTCTGCAGAGGTGGTGCAGACCAGACCAGGGGAGCTGACATTTCTCCAAGACCGGAAGACTCCCGCGCACGTTTGTTTCACCGCGGCCCTTGCGTGCATGACTCTTTAGATTGCAGTGTTTTATTTTCAGTTCAGCGCAAGCAAGGGAAGGGAAGGAGCACTGCCGTTATCTCTTGTTTACGTCGTCATGCATCTGGGCTATTTTCTGTTGAGTCTCACTTTGTGTGTCTTTCCTTTTCTCGTTGTTTGTTCGTGTTGATAATAACAACAACAACGCGGGCGGTCTCTCCTCCCAACACCACTTACACCGGGACACACTCACACGCACGCACGCACAACACACGACGGCCCCTCCAGCCAGTCGCATCACGTCCCATGTTTTCAGGCTTGCCGAGGCTGCCCAATTGAGGCATTTGGGAAACTTCCCGTCCTCGATTCCCATGTGGCCACGGCCCAATCACGCAGCTCGTATTTTTTGGCCCTTCCCGCACACACCGCCGCAGATCCACTGCTAGAACCAAGCAATAGCTGTGCTGCCCCCCCCCCGATGTCGCCTCGCGCCTCGATCACCGATCCACTTTTGGACGAGGTCCAAGTGGGTTAGGTGCGCTGACTGCTAGCGCGCGATGGCGGCGCGCGCGATGGGCTCTGGCCCGGGCTGGGGAAATCCAAGAGTTGCTTGGATGCCTGGGGGCATGGCCCCCATGTTCACGGTTGGCAGCGCGGGGGAGGCCTGGCCTGCAGAGTTGGGAGCTGATCCCACCCACATAGTTGGAACTGCCGATCCCCGAAGCGGGATCCCGACCACCCAGCCCGCGCGCGCCGCCCAAGGGCCAAGGGCGGCGAGGCGAGGGCCAAAGCTCCGAGGCCTGGCTCTCTTCACGACTCACATCGCGCTCGGTGCTTCATGTGAAGGTTGACGTTGATGACGGAGCGGGACGGAGGTTACACTCGCCCCATGGGGCCGGTCCCCGCCTCGCGATGGGCCGTCCGCGCCTCCCCATATCCCCCCGGACTTCCCCAGGTTATTTGCCCAGAGAGAAGAAGTTTTCTTCTTGTCCCCTTCGTCTTGTTCGATCTCGACCTCGTCCTGGTTGACCCGTGCTTCAAGTGTCCGATCCTAACCCCCCTCCGTTGAGCTCTCCTCCAAGGGCTCGCGCCGGATCGCGACTTGCACTCACCACCTCCCTCCCCTCCTCCCCCCCGGCCCGGTCAGCCAAGGAGAACCACAGACAAAGCCCGCCATGCGTTTCTTCAACTTCATGCTGGCGGCCATGGCCCCCGTCAGCCTCATGGCCGACGCCGTGCCGCGGACAATGTCGCCGCAGGAGCTCGACCTCGAGGAGCTCCTCGTCAAGCACAACCTGGCCCTCGTGCCCCGGTCAGAGCTCACAGACGCCCTCACGGAGCTCAATGGCCTGCTGCGGAGACAGCAGCAGCAACAACAAAACGCCCCCATCTTCCCGCGCGCGAACAGCTCCGGAGGCAATGGCGGCAACCAACCCTTGGACCTCAAGGGCCTTGGACTCGGCGACCTGGGCAACGTTCTCGGCGGCATTGGCGATCTCGGAAAGCTTCTGGGTGACCTGCCCGACCTCATCAAGGCCATCACCTCGCTTCTCACACCGGAATTCATCAAGGGCTTCCACGACGCCATGGTCTACCTCGCCGAGCTGCTGCGGCCGCCCATCCCCAAGATTGGCCGCAACATCATCACCAAGGCGGAACCGCTGATCGAGCTCCTCGGCGAGTTGGATCTTAAGGGTCTGATAGATCAGATCAAGGACGTGGACCTCGCCGGCCTTGTCAAGGGTGTTCTCAAGCTTCTCACAGAGGGCAACATCAAGAACATTGAGGGCCTGCTCACCAATGGCGCGGCGCTGCTGACGCCGACATTCGTCAACGAGACGCAGTCGCTTATTGGCGAGGCTTCGCCGCTCATTGACCTCATCAAGGACATCGACCTCAAGGGCCTGGTTGAGGCAATCAAGCCGCTCTTGACCAAGGAACAGGTCGAGGGCATTGGGAAGCTGCTCAACAACGCCGAAGCCCTCTTGACGCCCAAGTTTGTCAACCAGACGCAGTCCTTGATTGGCGAGGCGTCGCCCCTGATCGATATGCTCATGGATATTGACCTCAAGGGCCTGCTGGATGCCCTGAAGCCCCTCCTGACCAAGGAGCAGGTCGAAGGCATCGGCAAGCTGCTGACCAACGCCGAGAACCTGTTGACGCCCAAGTTTGTCAACCAGACGCAGTCGCTCATTGGAGAGGCGTCGCCGTTGATTGATATGCTCATGGATATTGACCTGAAGGGTCTGCTGGATGCTCTGAAACCGCTACTCACAAAGGAGCAGGTCCAGGGCATTGGTGAGCTGCTAAAGAACGCGGAGGCGCTGCTGACGCCCAAGTTCGTCAACGAGACCCAAGCCCTGATTGGCGAGGCGTCTCCTCTCATCGACACGCTCATGGACATTGACCTCAAGGGTGTCCTCGAGTCCCTCAAACCCATTCTCAAAAAGGAGTCCATCGACGGCATCGTCACCTTGCTCAAGAACGCAGAGGATCTCCTCAGCAAGGAAACGGTTGACCAGCTCAAGGTCATTCTCAAGACTGCCAAGCCCCTCCTCGACAAGCTCGGCAAGATTGACCTGGACGGCATCCTCGACGCACTGGAACCGCTCCTCACCAAGGAGTCTATTCAGGGCATTGTGGATCTGCTCAAGAACGCAGAGAGCCTCCTCACCAAGGAGACTGTTGACCAGCTCAAGAGCTTGCTCAAGAGCGCCAAGCCTCTTTTGGACAAGCTGGGCAAGATCGACCTGCAAGGTATCCTTGATGCGCTCGAACCACTCCTCACAAAGGAGTCCATCCAGGGCATCGTCAACCTTCTCAAGAACGCTGAAGACCTCTTGGGTAAGGAGACCGTCGCACAGATCAAGACGCTCCTCAAGAGTGCCAAGCCTTTGCTTGACAAGCTCGACAAGATTGATCTGGACGGCATTCTCGATGCTCTCGAGCCCCTGCTCACCAAGGAGTCCATCCAAGGCCTTGTCAACCTGCTTAAGAATGCCGAAGACCTTCTTGGCAAGGACACTGTCGCGCAAATCAAGACCCTCCTCAAGAGCGCTAAGCCGCTGCTTGATAAGCTTGACAAGATTGATCTGGACGGCATCCTTGATGCGCTGGAGCCTCTTCTCACTAAGGAGTCCATCAAGGGCATCGTTGGTCTTGTGGGCAACGCCGAAAACCTGCTCACCGGCCAGTTCGTCAACCAGACCAAGACCCTCATCGGAGACGCGCTGCCGCTTGTATCCTCTCTCAAGGGCCTTGATCTGGAGGATCTCCTCAAGCAGGTCGGCCCGCTGCTCAAGATGCTCGGCAAGCTCGACCTCGAGGGCATTCTGGAGTCGCTCGCACCTCTTCTCACCAAGGATAGCATCAAGGGCATCGTTGGTCTCCTCGACAACGCCGAGCTCCTGCTTACTGGCAAGTTCGTCAACCAGACGCAGACTCTTATTGGCGACGCTCTGCCCCTCATCACATCCCTCCGCGGTCTCGACCTCCAAGATCTGCTCAAGCAAATCGGCCCGCTTCTCAAGATGCTGGGCAAGATTGACTTGGAAGGCATCCTGGAATCGCTCTCCCCCTTGCTCACCAAGGACAGCATCAAGGGCATCGTCGGCCTGCTTGGCAACGCCGAGAACCTCCTCACCAGCAAATTTGTCAACCAGACTCAGACTCTCATTGGTGATGCTCTGCCTTTGGTGTCTGCGCTGGGCGACCTCGACCTGCAAGACCTGCTCAAGCAGATCGGACCCATCCTCAAGATCATCGGCAAACTCGACCTCGAAGGCATCTTGGAGACGCTGGCGCCGCTCCTCACCAAGGACAGCATCGGTGGTATTGTTGGCTTGTTGGGCAACGCCGAGGATCTGCTCACGACCAAGTTTGTGAACCAGACTCACACCCTCATTGACGGCGCTGTGCCGTTGATTGGTGCCCTCGACAAGATCGACCTGCCCAAGCTCATTGACCAGATCAAGCCATTGCTAGATGTACTCGATGAGATTGACATCGCAAGCCTTGTCAAGCAGATCAAGCCTCTCCTCAACGCTTTGGGCGAGATTGACCTGCCCGGTTTGATCAAGAAGCTGGCGCCTATCCTGAACGGCCTCAAGGACATTGACCTCAAGGCCCTCTTTGACGCCATCAAGCCGCTCCTCACAGCCGACACGATTGACGGCGTCGTCGACCTTCTCGACAACGCCGAGCATCTCCTCACGGACAAGTTCGTCAACGAGACTCAGAGCCTGATTGGCGACGCCGCGCCCTTGCTCAAGCAACTGCGCAAGATCGACCTCGAAGGCCTCATCGACCTGGTGGAGCCGCTGCTGGAGTCACTCAAGGATGTGGATCTCAAGGGCCTCTTCAAGGCCATCAAGCCGCTCCTGGATGCGCTCAACAAGATCGACATCAAGGGCATCGTCGACCAGATCACGCCGTTCATCACGCCCGAAAGCATCAAGGGAATCTTGAAGCTGTTGGCCAACGCCGAAGGCCTGTTGACTGCCACATTCGTGGAGCAGACGACAGAGCTGATAGGCGACGCAACACCTGTAAGCACACCCACTCCCAAGTGCACTGCCAGATCTCAATTGCTAACGAACGCTCCAGCTCGTGGCGACGATATCGGACTTCGTACATGCCATCTTCAAGTCCTTGATGGGCAATTAGCGGCTGGTCTTTTCACGTGGCGGGGGAAACGGGAAACGTTTGATGACATGACTTATTGCAATGCACATGATTCAGAGGCAACGCGCATATACCGACGGTTGGCGAACCACATAGTCGCCGGCTCGCGCGACAGGCGTATACATGATTTGGTACATAGGCACAGCCTTAATGATATTACGGGAACGACATTTTGCATACATGCACAAGTTTGGCAATGACTTTGACTCCAGTCGTGATCGTATTCGATGAATTCATGTTCAATGTTCTCATTCTGTCCTGGATGCCACCGCCCATGATTCCCATTCGGCATGTAGCATCTGCCGACTTCTGTTCATTTCTTGGCCTCGTAGAGGGCAACTGGGACACCCTGCCCAGGGCATCCAACAATCTCCATCTTGTGGTACTGGGCTGACCAGTCGCCACGATACTCGAGCCGCTCGTACTTCTGCAAGATCCGTACCACTTGAACACGATTAGCGCATGAACCTCTGCCTTGGCGTTCCCACACTTACGCATAAACGCCATCTCCGTGAGGGCAAAGTTCTGCCCGATGCAGATCCGGGGCCCACCGTTGAACGGCACGTACTGCCACGGCCTGGGCGTCCAGTTCTCCCACCGCTCTGGGCTAAAAATATCTGGGTCCGCGAACTTTTCCGACGTAAGCGGATACAAGTCCTTGCGGCGCTGCATGCAAAGTGTGCTGTAAAAGACGACGTCACCCTCAAGGGTCTTGATGTCGGGCTGGCCAAACTGGCCGGGCAAGCTCGAGTCCTCGACTGCGACTTCTTAGCGCCGACGTCACGCTAGGCGGATTTGGGACACTTACCGCATGTTCGGAGGTTGTATGGAACAGCTGGGTAGAGTCGCAGAGTCTCGTTGAGCGTGTGCGTCAGGTAGGTTAGGTTCTTAAGATCCTGGTATGTTGGCGACCTCGAGTCGCCAATGTGCTCGAGAACCTGCTCGCGGAGCTTATGCCAGATCTGCGGGTATCGCGACAGTTCGTACATAGCCCACGATAGTGTCGCAGCCGTTGTATCACGCCCCGCAAGTAACACGGCGACGATCTGGTCCCGAATGACCTTGGGGTCTCGAGAAAATAGTGCGATGTTGTGCAGGAACGTGAAGTCGCGGTCTGACTTGGAAAGCTCCTCTAGCTCGGCAGCTGTGAGATGCAGTGTCTTTTCGATGAATGGCTCGATGAAGCGCTCGATGTATTTGATGCCGGCCTTGTATTTGCCCTTTGGCACGAACCAGCTCAGTGGACTAAGGATGGTGGTTAGTCTGTGGCTGGATATTCCAGTCTTTGATATACTCACGCAAGAATAGTCAACATGACCTGTGCTCTTTGCACTTCCATAAAGGCACGACTGAACTCGCTCTTGGGACTGCTTTCCGTTAGAGGCTTTCGGTACTTTAAGCATAGAAGCCTTACTTTTCCAAAGCACCCACACTCTCGCCAAGGAGAAAATCCGTGGTGACATCGAGCGTCATACGATAGAAGAGATCACAGATGTCCACGGTCTGTCCCGAAGGTGGAAGCTTGGCAACGAGCACATCGGACCAGCGCTCAAAGATGTCAAGATCCCGAATCCGCTCCTTGGTGAACATGGGACGAATCAAGGCCCTGCTGTTCTGCCATAGCTTTCCGTCTGTGCTGAAGATGCTGTCTCCTAGGAAAGGTGACCAGATGTGGTGGAAGAACTCTCCTTTTCCGTATTGGGTAAATTTGCTGGTGAGGACGGTCTTGATGTGCTCGGGCTCTCGAGTGAAGATCAGTCTTCTGTTACCAAAGGTCATTTCAACCGCGTCGGGGCTTTCACGAGTGCTGCCATCGAATAGTCCCTGAAAGTAGAAGTACATGCGGTTTTGGGCCTGGGCCTGGGCACCACGGATGGCATAGGTTAAGGCTACCAGAGAAGTCAGCAACAACCACGTGGTATTAGCACGGGCAGCATACATGTGCTGTAGAAGGAGGCAAGGCTGGGAGCCTGGACTCCGGGCCTTTTGCTGAGGCGATATCGAAGGCGAGCCCTCTGAATCAAGGAAAGAATCAAAAGGATTATGGGTAAGGCGATGGCCACGTTGGCCGGCGTGAGGGCAACGTGCAACATTGTGGGCGTAATTTACGAGCAAACCAGCTAGGGAAGTAGTGACGCTGGTGAAGAGCAAATGGAAGAAGAATCAGGCAATCATCAACTCCCACATGCGGACGACGAGACTCTTGTATTGTTACGTATCGTGTTTCGTCCAGTCAAGTCGTCTTCACATGCCAAACTCTATTACGCAACGTGTTGCGTCTACAACAGGGGATGGGCGGTGGGCAACCAGGTGATGCGGACTCGTGTTAACGATCAATCCCAACAGGTAACACAGGACTCGTCACGTCGCCAACAAATGGCAGGAATCTGATTTGTCGCGTGTCGTCTTGAAGCTGGCGATGTGGAGCGGGCAACGGGGGAACCGCGAGGTCCGTTGCGGGGGCAGGCCTTCGACTCCTCGCCCAAGCGCAGGGTCGTACCCCGGATTGTTACCCCAGACGCGATGCCGTTGCTGGAAACCAGGCACCAAAGCCGTACTTGATTGGCTCGTCGCCGAGCAATCCCATATGAACCGGTATTCGCGGATGTACGTGTGTTGCTCATGACATCAAACCGTAGCATGTTGTGCCGCGTTTCTGGAACTGTCCCGTAACCCGAATACGGGAGCGAGCTCCATTCTTCTCTGACGCTCAATCATTGCGAGCCTCCACAACCATTCGCTTGCCTAATGAGCCATCGGTGTTGCTGACCGTTGCGGAGGAATCCCGTTCCTTCCACTTCACATGATCAGAGAGTAAAGCCCCCAACAGAACAGCTGCGCGGATCGCTCAACGGACAAGGATTACAGCGAGATCAAGCGCATTTGAGTTTGGCTTGTGAAAGCGGTGTCTCAAAGAGGAAATGCTTACCAAGTACTCCGATGCAAGGGACGGACACGGAGTGTGTGATCGTGATGCAACGATCAAGACCCGTTTCCTGTTTCTGCCTGGCCCCAGTCCACCTCAGCAACAAAATGCCATCAGATAATAAAGTGACCAGAGGCGCGTGGCCACTTCTCGTATTTGGAGGGAAGAAAAGTATTTATCCGCCGGTGGGAGACGACGATCGCGGGGGAGCAGCCAGATTGCAATCGTGTCAATACCAATATTCTGACCCTGGGTTAGAGTCGCGAGAGCAACCGATCAATCCAGCTGCGAATCAATCACCGGACCGCAGCGCCACAACTGGCGCAGGCAGTGGCTGCTCATGGGGTGATTGCAAATAAAACCGCGACGTTTGGTTGAAGCGCCTGGCAGAAACGGACTTGCCAGACCAAGATTGAAGCTGGACGCCTTGGTCTAGGGTGAGGAAGACCCGCCTTCCGCATGTCCTACCTGCAGCACCAGGTGATGAGAGCACAATCTTGCGTATAAGGTCGTCGTAGGATCAGGATTACAGGCTAACAAATCAGGAGTTAGTGTCGGTGTGGCGCGATGGTGTTACATATACCGGGACTCTACTTGCTGAACGAAACGAACCGAACGAAGACATATCGTGGTGTGCGATAAGGAAGCGACTCATGCAATGCAACGCAAAAAGAGGATTTAGGCGCAGCGCGCCCATCATTGTCATGTGCCGGAGACCAACTAAGCACAGCGAGCCCTTCATGTTGATAATCTGTGAACACAAGGGTCGACGACCATTGCCTGCGACACCAGACTTCTTCTGTTGCGCACCTGCACCTCCGTCCTCACCGAGACCAGCAAGCCCTAGCCGAACACGGCCTCTGCGACAGGACGGGCTTCTCGCGGACGCGAAAAGAAGGCGGCGCCCGCTACGAACGGCGTGGGCCCGCGCTTGTCGCTTGAGAGTGTTGGTAGCTTCGTCACAGGCCTCTGTGGAGTCTGGACCAACGCTGTTGCACACCGACAATGGCTCGATCCATGCACCTGGTGGTTTACACTATCGTTTGGCGACGACGGAATTGTATAAACCGGACTGTACCTGTGCTCAACTGCCGTCAAGGTGCTTCGCGGAAATCTTGCACCCAAGTGCACCTTTCAGTAAGCCACAAAATCGGCCTCTGTTGCCACACCGAAACCCCTGCTCTCCAGCTGGAGTGCCATCTATTGAGGGTGCCAGATAACGAGGGCTGGGCCGGTGCCGGGTGCCGAGTGGTGTTGTTGCGCAGTGGCGATGGGCTCCGGCAGCTGGCCAGTCAGCCCATCGCACGCAACGCTCAGCCACGCTCAAACCCAGCGGCTGTTGCACGAGGAATGCCTGGGGCGCCTCAGCCATTGTCTCGGAGCAGATAGCGCGGTCGACAAGACAGGGGTTCGCGCGCCGCAGGCACAACCACTGGGGTCTAGTGACGGGAGGGCTCACGGCTGGCGCCGCACATGATGCAGGGCGGCGGGCGGCAATTGGATGCCCTGGGCTGGAGTCTGGCAATGGCGCTGGTTGCCTCGTCGGGCTGAGCTGGGCTGCGCGGGAGCTATCGAACGGGCGCGGCCGCTATTAGTGCGTGAGGGCGTCAGCCGCAAGGTACGCCCACGATGGGCTCTGGATCGGTGAACGGGTATATCTACACCGGCGATGCCAAGGCGATTCCGAAAAGCTGGGACGTTGAAAAGCATACAAAGCGACTTGGAATCTGCTGTAATACTCGAGAGCGTTGCTGAACTCCTGGTTAAACATCCAAGCTTGCAGCGTTAGTTGGGCTCTCTACTTGAGAAACACGCTTCTACCCGGTGTCGCAAAACCCGGCATCATGGCGACGCAAATCGTCGACGGCTTCAGCCTCACGAACCGCTGGTTGCTATACACGAGCGTCATGCTCGCGCCAGCGCAGTTCATCTCCGGCATCAGCAGCAACTGCCCCAGCAACATCGGCTTCCTCGCCTACAACTGGTACACGCAAATCTCATGGTACCAGGCGGTGCGCGCCAAAGAGCTGCACGCGCTGTCGCTTCTGCCCGTGCATTTCAACACACTCTACGTGTTCAGCTACCTCGGGGGCCTCTCCTCGGGCAACTACTTCATGGCCGCGATTCTCGGCGTGGGCACCGCCGGCGTGCTCATCCTCAACTGCGTGTCGGCGTGGACCAGCTGGGCCATCTGCCAGGACGAGGGCTTCGGCGTGTACCAGTTCTTCTTCTTTGGCTGGCGCACGCTGAGCCCAGGTTGGCACAAGTTTATTCTCCTATGGCAGGTCAGCGACTCCATCATGTGCGTCATCGCTGTCATCGCGTCCATCTTCATCGCCATCACAATGGTTGCCGTGGACGAGGACGACGATCTGGCCGAGAAGGCTACCTTTGGCGGGCTCATGTCGGTGTCCATGGCGCGATACCCAGCCATCTTCCTCGGCGCCATCCTGATGCTTATTATTTCGTGGCCGCTGATTCTGTGGACGGAGCTCATCGTCCAGCGGAATCACATCGAGTCGGGGACGGATATGATTGCGGTGTATCTCTTCATTGCGCAGGTTGGCGCCATGCTGGTTCCGAATTTAGGCTGCTTCAAGGGCAGGAGATAGAAGCCGATGTACTGAGTTAGATTTAAAGTTCGCCTGATTCCATTTGGTCGAGAATGAAATAGAGCGCCTGATTTCGCGACCGTCGCGCGTGCGGCTGAGTTGACACTGTGACCCGGGCGAGCACAGCTGGGACCAGTAATTCCAGGCATAGCTGTGCCGATGCACGCGAGCCAAAATCTATGATTCGATTAAATATAGTGTGCGTTCCGCCTGGAACTAAGAATGGTTGGACACCTTTGTCGGGAATGGCTTGAAGTTTGGAGAGTAGGAGAGGTGTTCATTCATTGTGTGGTGTCGTGGACAGCGGCAGCGACGCTGAATCCACAATTCCCAGCCACAGCCAAGCCGACACCGTGAGATTGCTATAGCCGAGCTCGCACTATGGCACGATTCGTGTCTCGCGTCAATGGATTATTAGCGGCAGACAGAGGGCCGCTATTGCATTGTGGACTACAGTGCACATGCAGTTATCCCGACCGGATGGACCCTGATCTCACAACATCGGCTTGGCCGCACTCTGCAGGGTTTCTTTTCTTTTCGTCCTACAACTGCACTCGTTGCGCAGACAAGACAGGCAACCATGGGCGACTGGGACGTGTCGTGCGCGATTTGCGGCGTCATTTTCATTCCTGAGGACGTCTACATCGAGTCCGAGGCCGAGCTTTTTTCTGAAGGCAAGAGCAGAGAAGTCGCGACCTGGAACTGAAGCACAGCATTCAATCGCTACGAACAATTGAGCTGACTCGACGATAAGAGTCGGAACGCGATCGAAGCTATAGCTATGATGGAAGCAAAGTCACCAAGGCCGATTGTGAATGGCTTTCTGACAACGATGCCCTGGGCCTGTGGCCGCAACATGGACAGCCAGAGGCCACCAAGTATGTAGCAACTGTCTCACCGAGTCTGTCGCTCGCTGAACCGATCTATCAGTACATTCATGACGGGCAGATTCGAACCTGGCGGCTACGTAAGTCGCCTTGTCGTACAGGCCATTTGCAGCTGAAAGCTTTATGCCGTTTAGGTGGCGTGGCTGATGCGTCAGGTAATAGGGATCAATCCTGCTTGAGGCGCGGGGTGCGTTGCTGTGATACTGGCCGGAGCCACCGAAGTCGTGCATGCCTCTAACTCGGCAATGCAGCACTTTCTTCGCATCTCCAAGACCAAGAGGATTCTATGATCGCGTATGCATCCGTCTCGTTACACCAAGCCCAATCTGTCTCTGTCGAAACTAACCTTTGAAAGCTATCGATCTGTCCTTGGAGGGCTACTAACTGTTTTCCCCTTTCACACAGCTTGCTACAAGCTTCTCGGCCGGGTCATAAGCGGCCGCATCAACACAACCGTTGACGAGGAAAATTTGTATGCGGCCTTTGTGCGGCTCAGCGACGAGTACTCCACCTGGCACCTGGATATAGACTATGGTAGCCCTTGCCCGCGTGACAACAGATCGTGGATTACATATCGCGGCCATGAGGTAGATGCACCCTCGGCGGTTTTGTTGCGGCCCACTAACATACGCTGTCCGCAGCTGCTAGTAAAGAATCCCATTGATACAGCCAACATCTCTACACATCTCGTCAATCAGCAGTTCTTGCCCGAGGTATTGGCGTCTTCCAGCGTGCTGCAAGACCCTTTCGACAGGCTGCCTCACGAAATCCGTCAGCACCTGCTCGAGTTGCTGTCAAACAGGGACATTGCAGCCGTGCGAACTGCGTCTTATCCCATGCACGCAACCATACCGTCAAAGGCAGTTTGGAAGCGGCTCATCGCAGCGCATATGCCGTGGCTCTGGGAGATGGACGCTGTGATAAGCCGAGGTGCATATCGCGAGCTGAACCTGAGCCGCACGATTCGAGAGCTTGAGAATTGGACGACTTTCGGCGATGACAAGACTGATACATTCGCTCTCGCATTGGCCAATCGAAGGCGGATTTGGTCCATTTGCGAGATCATCGCCGACGAATATGACAAAGTGACGGATGAGTGCAAAGTCGCGACGACAAAGGAGTGGGTGGATATGGGGGATGGCTCCTTCGAGCTCCAGATAAAGCCATAGAGTCGCCATCGACGGAAGACCTACTTCCCCTCGACTTATTTTCGTCCCCGGACATGCGTCTTGCGAAAACGTTCGATTGACAGACAGTAGACGCCACGCCTTTGGGTCCTACTCCTGCTTCGTCTTTCGCTGGTTGGAACATGAAGCAATTGAACTCGAGTTACTCATGAAGGTCAAGGGATGCAGTCGGTTGGGAAGCGCAAGATGCATGCTTGGGCAGGATTTTGGCAGGCATGGGGAGTGGATTCCCCAGTCTTCACTGGAAGCTAGGATAACCATTTCACCAACGAGCCTCTAACCTAGTATGTACTACTTTCTCGTTTGCAGATGGGTTGCTGCCATATCGCAACATCTACGTATGTACACTGTACCACCTGTGCCCGTTCAATCGCTTCGGCAGCATCCGGTTCCGGATGGCAGACACACTGACAGGACGGACGCTGCGGGTTGTCCAACGAGTGGCAGAAATGTGACGCTCTTGGACCGTTGGTGTGTTGACGGCAAGGTTTCGCTTCCTCCCGCTATGCGCTGCGGCAGTTTGTGGAGCCGGCCTTGTCGCCTGACTGCCGTGTGGCACCTGAGTTTCTGGCCCGAACGGCCCTGCCGTTTACACTCCAATGGATCGCATCAGGCGTTGAGCCCGGCGGTCAGACGGGTGGGAGATTCAACTGAGACAATGAGGCACAGTAGACGCGGGGACCGTTCTTAGACAATGCAAGGTGCGCGCCTGCATGGTGTTGGACCCTTTGCGTATCAAAGACCACCCATCGGTCGCTTCCTGTTTTGTCCGGCCGCACTGCTGCCCCTAGACGGCTCGGCCTTGGCTTGAACCCGTCAAGCGGTCTCGCCTAATTGTCTGTAGGGAACTGCTGTAAGCGGATGGCGCGAAGTTGAGTCGAGGCTGGGATCCCCACAACGCCGCGTCTCGTCCGAGACTTGCGGGCTTGTCGGCCGGGCGAGCCGCTGCGTCGCCGTCTGGTGGCGAGATGCAAGGCCGGCGCTCAACGGGTCATCGACTAATAATAAGACATACGGGGGCTCGGCGACGTCTATTCCAGGCGCTGGCCGGCTAATCACAGCGGCGACTGTGATTGCAGGCCCCAGAGCAAAACAAAACCGCGCACTATCGAGATCCAAAAGTTCCCCCAGATCTTGGCATCATGGCACAAGAACCCCCGGATCGTTGCGTCAATCACAGAGCGCGCACATGTTCTAGACTTGCTTGGAAGAAGCGGAGAAGGAGGCAAGAGGCAGGTACAGGGAGGGCGGATGTGCCGTGTCCTTCGGGACTTTGGTACATCGCTTCGCTTCTCCGGCTGCCAGGCTGCAGCTCAACCGGCAGCACCGCACAGCCCAGCCCCGGCGAGCCCGTAGCCAGCCAGCCAGCCAGCCCCCTCCGGAGAAGGTGAAGAAGAGGAAAGGTGCCCCCGCGCCTGGGCAGTGCCACGGCGAAGTGCGAGGTGACGCGAGTGTTCCCCGCAGCTTCGCAAGCGTCGCGACCTGCCCGCTAAGGTTAAGGTACCAGATAAGCTTCTTGTTAGCTGCCTCTTCGGTGCTAAGCGTGGGGAGGCTTAAAATGCAACTCTGGGTAAGCAACCCGGACTGCCGACGGAACGCGTCTTTCCCTGGACATGTACACGCTCGCCGGCGAGCTGCGAGCTGCGGCTGGAGGAGCAGCAAAGTGATACATGTATTTAACTCTGGGCGCAGAAGCTCCCTCAATTGGAGCTCGGTTCTCCCCAACTCCTTTCTTTTTTCCCCCTAGCTCCAATTACTTGACTGTCACTTGCAATTGCTCTATAGCCATGAAGGTCCTGCACAGCGTGTTATACGCGGCGTTGCTGGCCAGCGGGGCGTTGGGCACGGATAAGTTGACCAAGCCGGAGCAGGTCGAGAACGACATTAAAGTCTCAGAGTATGTGTTCTATCTCCCGCTCCCGTGTTGAGCATTGCAACGACAAAGAAGACTCCAGTGCTGACCGATGCATCATTCAGGCTGAGAAATGTCCTCTGGCACTTCCAGAAGATTGCCCGCGACAACGGCGGAAACCGAGCCTATGGCCTGCCCGGCTACAATGCCTCCATGGACTTTGTCCTGGAGCGCGCCGTGAAGCGCTTCGGCAAGCACATGGACACCCACGTCCAGGAGTTCACGCACCTCTTCGAGACGACGCGGAAGATCTCGCTCACCGGCCCTGACGGCAAGGACGCGGTCGTCGTCGCTCTCATGTACAACACCGCCACGCCGCTGCCTGGCGGTGTCACCGCAGCCCTCATCAACACGCCCGTAGATGACACCCGCGGTTCCGGCTGCTTCGAGGACCAGTGGACGGGGATCGACGCCAAGGGCAAGATCGCGCTCATCAAGCGAGGTGTCTGCCCCATCGCCGACAAGCTCAAGCTTGCCAAGGCGCACGGCGCGCTGGCTGCCGTCCTGTATAACCAGGTCTCGGGCGAGATTTCTGGCGCGACTCTGAGCGCTGAGAACATTGGCAAGCTTGTGCCTGTTGGAGTTACCAGCCTGGAGAATGGTCTTGCCTGGAGCAAGCGCGTTGCTGCAGGCGAGGAGCTCAAGGTTACTCTGATCGTTGACGCCATCACCGAGACGAGGCCCAGCTGGAACATCATCTCGGAGACCAAGGAGGGCGACCCGAACAATGTCGTCATGCTGGGTGCCCACCTGGACGGCGTGCAGGCCGGCCCCGGTGTCAATGACGACGGAAGCGGCTCGGCTGCGCTGCTCGAGATTATGGGCTCGCTCAAGAAGTATGGAGGCTTCAAGAACAAGGTCCGCCTGGCTTGGTGGGGTGCCGAGGAGTGAGTATACCACTAGGACGCAGCACTCTACTGCTAATTGTCTAACCTGATGTCAATAGGAGCGGTTTGGTCGGCTCTCTCTACTACACGTCTCAGCTCAAGGAGGAGGAGGCCGACAAGATCAAGTTCTACTTCAACTACGACATGATTGGCAGCCTCGAGCCCGAGTACGCCGTCTACGCCGACAACGACGACCACAAGTACGGCGCGAAGCCTCTGTTCGACTACCTCAAGGCCAAGGGCAAGCCGGCCGAGTACGGGTAAGTTTAGAAACCCCCCCGTCAAGATCTGCATATAATGTTCCGCAATTGCTTACACCCCGCCGCAGCAAGTTTGGCACTTCGTCCGACTACGTCGGCTTCCTGAAGCTCGGCATCCCCAGCAGCGGCCTCTTCACCGGCGCGGGTGCACCCTGGGACGTCTGCTACCACAAGGCCTGCGACGACCTCAATAACATCAACTGGGACGCGATCGAGGTCAACGCCAAGGCCGCCGCGTACGTCGCCGCCAAGTTTGCGATCAGCCTGGACGGCGTGCCTGCCAGGAACAAGACGTCTACGAACCCCAAGTCTCGACGGGAGGTGGGGAGGCGCTTTGACGAGTGGTCGTCCACGGCTAGGGTCGTCGAGAAGACGCACAACTGCGGCGACGGAAGCAGCGTGGTGTAAGCGCGCGTATGGGGTGCAAGCAGGAGCATGTCTTTACTTGCCCTGCAGTGCTGTATAGAGATGGAGATACGAAGACATGGCAGTCCACAAGCGTACATGTAGACAATAACAAAAGTCAATTCTTGCCATGACCGCACCGAATGTAGACGCGCTTTGTGCGACGAGCGGCGCGAGATCTGTGCTACTACCGTCCATGAAGGGTAACCAACACAGCCTCGCTCGACTGCAACTCAACCTTCACCTTCCCATCCTTGACCTTGACGGTCTCAACCTTCTCCCTCCCCGTCTGCGCAAGCCTCCCATCCGTATAATTCCAGCTCAAGCCGCCCCAAGCGATACCCTCATCCGCGCTCGCCCCATCCCCAGTCAACCTCGTCACGCTCGCCCGCTTCACCCCGTCGGGTACGCTCAGCGCAAGCTTCTGCGACGGGCGCGCATGCGGCGTCGTCGCGTTCCACTGGTCCAGGTTGACGATGACATACTTGGCCAGCCGACGGGCTTCGTACACGGCGTACGCAGACACGTCCCAGCGATTGAGATCAATTTCCTTGACTTGCACATTGGGTGCGCGACCGATGGCGTCGGCGACGACGATCTGTCCGTAGAGCGGGGGCCGGACGTAGGGATCGCGCCCGGCGTAGGGGACGGGCACCCAGCCGGTGTACCCGAAAGTGACGCCCTGGATGAGGTTGAAGCGGGCAATGTTCTGATGTCGCTGTGAGAGCCCGTTTCGGATTGGGGGAGTAGGTTGGGAACTTACCATGGTCATGCCGTAGAGGATGTAGTCGATGAGCCAGAGCGCGCTGCCAAACACGCCCTCAACCTGGGCCATGTTGAGGTTGATGTAGTCGCTGTTTGTCTCGCCCAGGAGGAACGTTATGCTGGGATCGTATTTCTTGAGGAAGTCAATGTCACGGCGGAATACGCCTAGGCTTCGCTGCACGGCGGTGTGGTTCATGAAGGTGTCTGTGATGTCAGCATGGGCGCATCACCCAGCGATTGAACGATCGCAACCATACCTTGAAGTCGAACCCATTCCTGGTTACCAGCCGTGTAGCTACGCAATGTCAGCAAGTCTGTTCTTTGAGACCAAGCAGGGGGATCATTCGACTTACTGATGAAGCGACACGGATTTGATGTGCCGCGTCTTGTCCACGCCGGCATCAAAGGCCGCTTCACTAACTCGAAGCATCAGCAACCTCAAGGTCTCACATGTCGCATCTGTCAGCTCAGCCTGAGCACTCACGTCGAAAACGTCCCCAACGTCTCATTGGCATACACCAACCCCTGGAAAAACCGCCACTCCTCCAACCCATACCGGTTCCCACGCAGCACCCGCCTCGAAATCTCATCCGCATACCGGTTCCACTCACGGACATAATCCACGACGGTGTAACTCGCCGGCCGCACCCTAGTCGGGTACAAGTCCGGCTCGTTGCCAATCTCCAGCGCGATGAGGTCGCGCCGCAGCGCCTGTACGACGAGCCGGCACACCTCGACGGTGTTGTCGAGCGACGTCGAGGCGTTGAGGCCCAGGTTGGCTTGGAAGTTCCACAGCGAGCCGGGGAAGTTGGTGAAGCCCTCGAACCAGGAGGGCCCGATGAGGACTTCTGCGGGGATGCCGTTCTCGGTCTTTTCGGAGAGGATGACGGCCTGTGGCTGGGAGGCGTTGTATACTACGCGGTCGCTTTG